ATGAATATCGTATATGCGTACGTAATTGGAGAGCACGAGAGGCAGTAGCGAGAGTCTGCACAAGCTCTGCCGGAGACAGAGCAACGCGTACGAGTATGCGTGTACGTGAGGCAGTTGAGGCTGCCTTGCATGCTTCTTATTCTCTCTATCCTCCTTTTCGTTTCTTCATTTAAAGCAGTTCCGAACCTGCTGTCGCTGCTGCTGCTGCTGCTGCTGCTGCTGCTGCTCGCCTAGACCCGCCACTATACGTAATCTGCCAAGCTTTATGTGCCAGCCACGACGGAGAAAAACAAATTGGGAATAAGGCTGCGACGGGGGTGGTCGAAATTTAGATAAGATTAATCGATTCCTTTCGTAGCTCATATTGCGCGAGAAATGCTCATTGCTCTGGACCTGAGATACAAAAGTTATCAGTATCCATTGCCCGATGTATTTGTATCGGTTGTTAACCACATTTACAGTTGTTTCAATTAACGTGAAAACAGATAGATTCTGCACTATTAGCATTAATGGAATTTCAATATCGTGAAACGAAGCCGAAATAAGACGTCTCCCCCACATTAATCAGTAAGCTAGATTTTAATTGAGACAGTAAATTATTTTTTCAACAGTTTGGCGCTTAATTAAATACGTGATCACGGTCGGAAAAACGGTCTCATATCCAAAATAAAGAGAAAATCATAAAAATTTGCTTCAATTAGATCTTTTTTGTTCACTATCATCCAATGATTAATTGAAATTGCAATGGAGCAATATAGTATAGATCTAAAATAAAATACGGATTTTCATGCCAAAATAATGCGGATTTAAATCGCATTTTTGACATCAATATCAGAAGAAACTTGAGGGATAATATGAAAAATACATTTTTGTAATGATTAAACTTCTGTCATATCTTCTGGTAACATTTGGTTGTCACTTTGTAGAGAAAAATGTTGACACTCGTCTAACAAAAATTTAATCTCAGAATTTTTAAAGTTACGTAGGGTACCTGTCAAAGTATAAGGTGCTGGAGATCATTAAAATAAAATTCACTCATTCCTAATATTATAAACTTGATCGACGATCGGAAAGTTTTCCAGAAAAGAAAATATTAAGTATCGCTCTATATAGAAAACGCAAAGCGATCCAATTTGCCCTGATCCCCCTATTATACGTATATCAGATTGATAACATGAAAGATCAATTTAAAAGAATTTCTGCATCTATAAATTAGAGCAAATAAATGCAGGAAGTCACTAGATATTAAATTAAAATTAGTTTTATTGATTGCATGCTATCAAGTTGAAAACTGAATTAGAACGCTATCTAGATTTCATAATAATTGGTTCAAGGTAGAGAGATGTACGTGTACACATATATTATAGTACATTTGAGCTCGTATACTTATATACTCTTACAAATGGGTTGTTACTGGTTTGATAGTTGGAAAAAGTTGGAATGTTCGTCGACAAAGATTTTTGATGAAGTATCAAATCTTATTATGAATTTTTGAAACTTTCATAATAGCCTTTGTATATCGAAAGCCGCTAGAGTTTACTATGCTAATTATTATGCTGATTACAAGAAAAATTTCTTGCAAATATTTAAATTGAATACTTTCTTTTTAAACAATAAATTTAATTCAAGAATACAACATACTTAAGAAGTCCTTTTTCTTCAATAACTTATGACACATTTCCTTTATTCAAAGTACTATTCAAAACAATTGACCAAAAAATACTTGGGAAAGTAATTTAGATTGAAAATTTGAACAGCTTCAAATTTATATTCTACATAATATAATGATTGTAGAAAATATTTGTTAATATCACAGATCATTAAACGTTCAGTATTATTTATTTCAATAGCACCTGCTCCAATAAATTGTTTTTTGATGCAAACTCTGTCATTAAAATTTTTCTGTTGTTTTATCTATACATCGATGGTCTTTAAAAAAACTGGCACATTACAATTTTTTTGTATAAAAACTAATTCATTGAGTATTTTGCCATTGAAGGGAGCGCGTTTCATTTTTCATCGCGAAGAAAATCAAATTTTTTCATTTTTTATTTATGAATTGATGATCCGAAACTCAATACTTTTTGACTGTTTCCATAAAAGAAACTTTTTGTTCCTATATTATTTCGTTAATGTAATCTTTTACAGAAATCTTCCTTAACGACTTTCGACAACCACTTAGCGGCAAGCAGCTCATGCCATCTTCGTGTTTCCTTGAGAACTATGCTTAGAGAATATCCGCATCTTTAGCAATCAGCATGATAACAAAACTATAATTGAATATTTTTAATAAATTTAATACATTTTGCAGAATGTATGGCTCTATAACAAATAAGATTGGTACATTTACGTGGTAAAAGCAATATGAATTCGTTTCATTTATTAATACTTTGATTGCTGTTTTTACCGAGTATGTTACAGTTTCGCATTTCATTGCAGTATATTATTCGTTTAAAAACCGTGACATATTGACATAAATATTAAATATCAGCTTTACTCTCTTTCACATTAAAATAAGTCAAATGTTATTTTAAAATCAAAGCAGATATTTCACTGTTATTTTTTACGCCGTTGCGTATATTACTGATAATGAAATGAAATTTATTCAAAATAAATCAAAATCAAGTCATGTCTGTTTCGTATTTTTCCCTCATGGACAAAGCCCAATACATGAAAGTATTATTCACGAATGTTTTTTACGAGTCATGTGATTGTTCACGGTAACTCTGTCACCTTAAGTAAACGTCTAATTATTCAGGATATCTGTATAACTTATTTCTCAAAAATAATTCAGACTTTGAAAAACAAACGGTTCCATTCCAAATTGAAATTAATTATATCGCGAAATCTTTACGTGATCGCGTGACTAATTATGCTCGCCTATTGTTTGTTTGATATTGTATCACCTTAATATACTTATTTTACGTAATTCGTAGGAAATGAAAAAGGCTCGTATAAATTTCGCAGATCCCGACAATGAAAAGCACGATATTTCATAAAATTTGTGTATGACAAGCTTATTTGGCAGATAGATTAATTGATGTTACGTTAACATAAAAAATGGTATTAGCTACAGTAGTGTATCGATCGTTGAAAATCTTAGAAATTTTATAATTTTCAAACAATGCGAGCAAAGATTCATTCATGATCGCATGCTCATAACTCTTCAACTAAATTTTCGGCCGGACAACGGCTAATTCCATTAGCTCGCGTCCTGCATTAACGTGATCTCCGATAAACATATCGGCAAAACCATAACGAAGCGCGCTTTCTCGTAGATCACCCGTCTGACCCGCACGCTTATTATATCCAGAGTTTTCGTAATTGACTCCTGAATGAAACGCGCGCCGAACAGACAGTCGTTGCACAAACAAGAGCGCGCGAGTGCGAGTGTCCTTCGCTCGACCCGTTCGGTGTACGTTTCGTCTCTCGCGAAATATCTCGCGGAGATCAGGACTTTCTGGACCAGTACGCCGTCACTCTCACCACATGTGCGCCTGCCCACTGGCGGCTTCAGCGAATACGAGTATGCGTGTGTGAATCGTGCATACGTGCAAGCCAGCGATTTCGACGCCTGGCTGTAATAGATTCTCGAGTTTTCGGCCAATTTTCAGTTATCGCCAACAGGTCATTGTCTTTATTATTTCAATTTTCAGACCAATTTATTTAATATATATATTATGATTGTTCTAAGATCTTGCTCGAACTCGTTCACAAACATCACTATTTTTAATAAAGATTTCCAATAAAATTTTCATAATAGTCAATCTGTTATCGTGTCTAATCAAACTCGGCTTGTTCTACTGAAAATACGCTGTTAATCTCTGTAGAGGCGTAAGTATGAGTAAAATAATAAACATAAACCGAGAACTATCGGATCAATATGCAACTTGCATTACGAAACGAGTTCTTAAAATAACATCTTCGTTAAAAAAAGTATCAATAATGCGAAATACATATTTCGAAATGAAGGTACTCGTGACGTCATTGCGAGACTTGATTGGGCTTTGGAAAAAGAATAATACAAGCTTAAGATGAAAAGGCAGAACCGACTTTTATGTCATTGAAATCTAGAGAAGGACGAGAAATAAAAAATAATGATGAATTTCTACTTTGTTAACGTGATAGCTTGCGATTATTTATTGTCAGTGCTGCTAAAGTGTTGCAAAAAAAACTGTCCTCGTCTCCATTTTCCTCGAATCAAAAACATGACCAAAGTATATGCGAAACAGCCACGGGTCTTCAACATTACAAAGCAATATGTTTCCAATTATTTTGATTGAACGACGAAACGATGAATTATTGATATTCGTTCAAATAAAAATTGTATGAAGGATGATTTATTCGAATTGTCTTCTTTGATAGTCTCAGTGCTGTAACACAACGTCTGGACACAATTTAGTAAGCCATCTTTGTGACAATACGCAGCCCACTTGAGCACAGACTTAAATCAAGACAAGTGTCTCGATTGCCGTAACTTGTAGTTAAAATAATAAGCTCGAATAAGAGATTGATACGCGACAGGCAGGCAAACGATCTCTATCAAATACCAATTGAAGATGTGGCGACACATAGCAGTCAATCCTAAAACTGTCTCCGTTTATACTGAACCAACGTTCGACATTCTTTGTGGATACATTAACATAAGCGAGGATGGCAGGCCTTGCTAATCGAGTTGAAAATGGACTGAGATCCCGCGATAGCCGAATAAAAAGGCGAAATGCTCGGCCAGTGTGTAGTCGGAGAGCGAACCGCCGTCACCGCTGCCGTGCGCGCGAAAAGAAAGAGTCAAACTTGACTTACGGGGCTTTACGGCGAAAGAAGTGAGTGTCCTTTCTCTCTCTCTCTCTCTCTCTCTCTCTCTCTCTCTCTCTCTCTCTCTCTCTCTCTCTCTCTCTCCCCTTTCGCGAGCCAGCGAGCGCGCGCTCGGCTAGGCCGAGATGGAGCAACGGACTGGCCGACGGCCTATCGACAAGTGGCACGAGGGGAAAGCCCAGTCGGCACGCGGAGCGCCGCTCGAGCAGAAGGCCTACACTTGTCTCAGTGCGCCGAGTGCAGTGTGTCCGAGTGAAGGTGAGCCACTCTGCTGCTGCCGCCGCTGCTGCTGCTGCTGCTGCTGCTGTAACTCGTGAAAAAACAAACAAATCCGATTGAAACTCTTCAGCGGACAGTGCTTACTTACTTTTATACCGATCTCACTTCATCTGTTCTTCAGCCGATTGTCGTTCTCTTGGTCGAGTCTATCGTCACAGATGCCGAAGACAAGTTTTTCAATTCGGTAATGTTGTGACATAAGCCGACCTTGCGTACACGAGATATCGGTACTTTGGAGATATACGTGCGCCGATCGAAGAATCAGGCTTCTGGCTTTCTTTCTTCTTCTTCGGCGTCATCGTGCCCATACGGAAATCCCGTCCCTGAGGTAAGTTTTGTGCACTTACATTATCGCCGACACGTGTCTTGGTGGTAATTTCAGCGTATATAAAGTACGCCAGCATTACCGGTTTATTTTAAGATGCTAGTACAAGCTTTCTTTTTATTCCGAATTCTACCGAAGCGAGTTTTTCGTGTGACGTTGGGATTGCGCGTGCGAACGGAAATCAGCTCTTATTTTTTACTAGGTCACCGACATAAAGCCTCCGTATATTATACGTAGTTGTAATCCGCTAATAATAACCCTCTAACTTGAACATCTCTATTACTGCATTTCTACTGCAAAAACAATTTGCTATCACACTGAGTTGGCCTGCCAACTCGCGCGTTTGCTTTCAACCATAAAAGCTAACATTGGCAACGCTTTATCTGCCCCAGTAAACTAATTATTTTCTCATTAATTATAGATTAATTTCTTGATCCGAATATAATTTTTATCTTCGTTTGATTTTTACGCAATACAAAATATTGATCGGGAATGATCAATTCCAAAAACTTGATCACCATCAAATCTGTTGAAGCTCCACTGCAATTTCATCCACACGCTGTGCTTCGTTACTTTTCGCCAAATCTCAAATGCTCGTAAATAGATGCCGTTCAGAATTTTACCTAAATTCAACGGTACATCGCGAAATCGCGAGAAGAAATAAAAAATTAAGAAAAAGCCGCATGTCGTATTTCAATTCACCGATCGTCCTTCGTACAAATCACTCTAGCAATTAACAGCTCGCTTGTATGATGGAAATGCTAATCGCGTACGTGTTGCAGGTGGATAGGCACCAATAGCGAAAAGATAGCGCAAGATGTTGAGATTACGAGGGAGCATGACCGCCGAGGACCGTCATCAGTCAAGGATCCTCGGCTGAAGAAAAGCGTAAAGAGAGCGGCCGCTCGGCATCAGCATAACGCTGACAGCAACTACACGCGCGACCCTGTAAGGAGGAAGTCCATCAAGCTGCAGGTGAATATGCGCTCCTTCCTCAAATAAATTTGTAACTCTCCTATATTCATAGACATGTTGGCCATTTTCCTAGAAAATAATCTTGCACCGAGCTATCGCCACGAGAGCTAATGAGATAATTGTCGTTGTGCGCTTGCGCGGAAGTTTGCGCTATTCACTCAATGATTATTTCACTGTAGCATGTATCCGGTGATTGCTTCGTGACCCTACACACATACACACACACACATACACACACACACATATATATGTATGTATGTACAAACTCTTCGCTACTGAGATTCGTTCAGGACTTTGGAATTTGTTTTGTTCGGACGTGTCCGTAACAAAGCTTCCACAATGCGATAATACGCATCTTTAAATTATAAATCATGAAATACTAATAAGTTATTTCAATGTCTCATCGAAGGTCGTTCAGATTTAAAAAAATTAAAGTAAGGTTTATCGTTTGTGGTTTACTGTAGCTTCTTTTTATACCAAGGATATATTTTTCATTAAATCTAACTTGATCTGCGAAGGGCTTCTTCCTTCGCGCACAAGGAAACTCAATAAACTTAAAAGTTTGCATACGATAAGCATCCGCGATAATTCACGATACAATTCGATTCCATTACTCTTATGTGTCATTCGAAATTGTAAGAAACCACACGTGGTTGTTACGAAAAAGAATGATTTACAGATTTATTTCGTCAGTAAATTTGCATCTGCGTGCAAATCGAACGACATATCGATCATGTGAACGTATGACATGTTGTTTTTCTTTTTGCTCGATGTCTTTATTTTTTGCTTATTCGTAGCCTACAATTATAATCAAATATTGATCATAAAAAGTCTTTTATAAAATGCATGCGTCATTCGCTGCGTGGATAGAGAGAGAGGGAGATAAAAGAGAGAGAGAGAGAGAGAGAGAGAGAGAGAGAGAGAGAGAGAGAGAGAGAGAGAAGATGGAATAACAAAAATCCATTACCTAAATAAAGAGTAAAATGATTTTAGAGAAATAGGTGTGAATATTTATATCTGTAGCTACGGACAATGACACATTCTATTATTTAGTTATAATTAGGATAAATCGACATAGCGTCAAACCAAAAGTTCTGACGTTAATCATTGCATCGAATGACCACCAAAAAAATGCTCGCGTGCAGTGTAGTTCTTCCGGATAGCTCGAACCGAAAATCCGACGTCGCGACAGGACAGGCATCATTACGTGTCAGCAATTACTTTCCCGATACATTTCTTATCGCGATAGCGCATGTCGCGTGCATATTGCAACAGAGCAGCTGCGAGTGCGTAACACATATTTCTCTTCGAATGACCCGGTAATCAGATCGTTCAGGGAGAGAATAAAAAAATCTTCTTTTTCCATGAACTTTTTTCAATTGTGGTTTAATAGGCCTATCGTTTGTGAGGCATCATGATGTCGCGGAATCATCTGTTATAAATCTCTTGTAATTAAGAATTAGCTAACTTGGACGTGATAGCTTACAGGTTTTTGTTTCTGCGCAGTCACATGTACGTCATAGGAGAAAAAGAGCGAGAAATACACGAATATATTTTTTTAAACACTTGATGTAAAAGGCTTACTTTCAGTGGATCGACTTGCAGCTACCTAAATACGTAAAAATTATGTGAATATTCATTGGTTAGACCGGTATTCCATCAGACAGATTTGTCACGGTCGATCTCGAAATTATCTTCGAATTTAAGAGTAGTATACACTTGTAGAGTATCAAGGCATAGAGCTGGAAATTAAAAGTGTGTCATCTAGAAAGTCTTCTTTTTCAAATTATGAATCGACAAGAAAAAACAATTCATAAATAAGCAGTCAACGAATTATTAAAATTCTCATAGGAACGTGGATACTCAAAACCCATGAATACAGCAGCTTTCAAGTTTAGCGTTGATCTCTAATGGAGATATTATTTTAAAGGGGCTTATTAATACCCATGTATTATTCAGAAATATATAATTACAAAATGCACACATACAATTCCAAAGAATCTAAGCTTTCTCGTAAACAAAAAGCACTGAAAAGAATACACTCTTCCACAAGCATTATCGGTATATAGATGTGCATCTCGTGCACTGTCGGATGAAATAATCTCGGTCTGCTGTTATATCAGTGATACGTACACGTGGGTAACTTTCACTCGGACACGGTACTTTCTCCGTGCGCCGGCCGGCATCGTGCAACATCTCGGGCTACACGAGACTGGAACACCCGGAGACGAGACAGACAATACGTATCTTTCTTGCTCTAAGTCTTTCTCCAGTTTCCGTTTGGCAGATTTCGCGATAAAGCGCATGTGCTTGGCAAGTAGCTATACCGCGTCCCAAGTTCAACCGAAGTAAGTCGTCGAGACGGATCCTAAGATGGTATGATGGATAAAATGTTGATATGAGCTCGTTTGAAGATTTTTTCTACCTTTCATAGAACTTTTTAATCACAATTCATTATTCTTGATGATTAATTTTCGTGACCTTTCAGTCAAGCTTATATGATGAGATCACAAATAAGCGACAATTTAATTGATTTTATTAAATATGCGACTAATAAAATTAGTTTTGCTCTAGATTTCATATTATATCGTACGTTTGTTGTCATCGAGACATACGTTAGTTTTCTGTGGAAACCACTTTCAGTCTTGCATTTCAAAAGGAAGTCATTCGTTCGTGTGATTACCGCATATTAAAACGTCAACAAATGACCTAATCCTCTATGACACTAGACAAACTTGGCTAGCACTGCAGATCACATAATCGTGCGATAAGACGGGTTTGATTTACGTCTGGGAGTGATAAGACGAAATGCAGGAAAAATGGATGATCCGTAATGGATGGTAATGTAACAAGTGGTTAACAAGCTCGCGGCAGTTAGATCAGCAGTGCATTACGCGAGGCACCAATTTAAATAATCGATCCCGACATTATCGTCGCACGCGCATACATGTGCACTATACGCAGCTAGCTGTGCTATAGCCTCTTTCGTATACTTGGCAGACGCGCTCGGTCAAAGAAAAGAAAATCGAAAGTGTCACGCGGAGTAGTCCAGTTCGGCCGATCGAAGTGCGTGAACGTTCAGTTTGGAAACGTACATCGCGTCGGTGAAATGTGGAAAGCCGCGTGGAAAAAGGAAAAGCGCTCGATCACGCTTTGCGTTTACGAGTGCGTTCTGATTACCTAACAAGAATTCAAAGTTTTTTTTATTTTTGGTAAGTTTCGTGGTGTTGTAGCGTCCGTGTATTGTGGTAGAATACAATGAAGACCTGGCCAGGGTTGATGAATGCAGACGAGAAAATTTGGCGTGCGTACAATTGTACACGATTTTATCCTACATATAAACTATTGTGTGAAATGATATCGCGTGAATCAATTCTCACGCTATGTTACTGTGCACAATGATTTATGTGTATAATGATACTTACTTTTGAGTTATTGCAAGCTTCAATAACTCTAATGATAGTAGTTCATTGATTTTCAATCAACGGGCTTTATCATTTCAAGGAGAGATTTTATTTTCAATTTAGAGTGTAAAGCCGTATAAAGTACGCCATTAGGCCGGCTAAACTTTTAAATGATTTATTCGCTTGAACTTGAGAATATTTAGAAAGTTTCCGTCAGTCAAGGTTTATGCTAATCGAACTCTCCTTTGTCTATGTTTTCCTTCGGAATTTTAGCGAAATATTAATTTGAATGGTTGTTCGAATGGTGTTTTACAAAAAGCAAAGAAATAAGTTGGTTTCCAGGTTGAAATACGGTATAAATCCGCTATTCGTTTTTGAAGAACAATACGATCAATTCGATTTCTTGTAATTAACATATTGTATTCCCACGCTAAGGTATACAAATGCATCGAATCAATCTCGTTATTTTTGCATGCAAGTAGACCGTATTACAAGTTCATTGATAAATTTTGAGCAAAAAAAATTATTTTGGCAGGTTTAGTATTACGTAATCGTTAAATATTAACGATCTCCCTTAATAAAACGTTATCTATAGTATTATGGCCTTCAAAGTAAAGAAATGAAAGTCCTTAGGCACACGACACCATTGTGTGTCCATCGATTACGATAACCTACAGTCAGACCTTCCAAATGTACAGCCATGACATTGAGTATAGGTACCTGAGCCGGATAAGCAACGAATAACAAAAATAAGTTCAAGTCACGCACGTCTCGATAAAAGGCAGCTCAATCGGACACTGAAATCTGGTCGTTCGCATGCTTCGCGTCATTGACATTGGCAGACGCACAAGTAGATACGTCACTAAGTGCGAATAAAGTCTGTCGACCGATAGAAAGGTTTCCTTGAGCATGCGGTCAGCGGGATTTCCCGGGACGCTGAGTACTATCCATTACACGCCGGGATAACGTACCTACGTCATACCTCCGAGATGCTGAAAGGGGTAAGCGAGCGTACCGGATTCGATGAGTCTGTGTCTTCTCGCGAGAATGCATTTTTGTTTTTGTTCCATCTCGATATTTTTCCAGATTCAAGGGAGTTTTCCTCGTAACACGAGCCTGCGTACATTTTTTTTGTGGGACCGATATTAGTGTCCAACCAGGATTGTGAGGCATGTGTCGGATAGTTTTCAATTTTTTTCATGCATTTGTTTACACATCGGAACGTTACGCGTCAGTCTCATTCGAAATTTCCATCAATCAAGTCATTAAAATGTAGATTAGAGACTTTTTTTAACTACAAAATACTAGTTTCAAGCGTCAACTGTTTGGTATATTTCTTCACAAACAATCGTGCGACAAAGTCGCTCATATTCATACTCGAGTCTTAGATGCTAATTTATTTTTTCTAAACAAATCATACCACCACATCAAATTATCTTTCTTGTTCGAGTACCTGTATATGTCGAAAAATAAAACGTAATTGAAATTCTGATGCTGTGCGATCGGATAATGTAACCTCGTGTCATGTAGTTAAAAAATGGTTTCAGGTTATACATCCATGTAATTGTTTTATGAGGTCAATTGATTAGTATAGCTTTTAGTTACTTTTATCTTTAAATGGTAAAAATCACCAACATAAAAAAGGCCAAGGAATATAGGTATACTCATTGGAAAGATACGTCGGTTTGCCGTAAGTTATGGCTTCTTGCAAAATCCCGCATCTCTTTACCCGGCGGTCGCATTCAAAATGAAGAAAACTGCAGCGTTTTGTGACACATCGGTCACTCTTAAGAGACACGTCTTCGTTTTAATTGCCATTGCATTTTCTCTAAGTTTATATAAGTTAATAAAGACGTCAGTGATAAGTATTTAAAGTTATTACATGCTCGTGAACTCCTTTTTTTCGTATTACTCAATGCGCAATTGAGAGCTTCTTTACAATTGATTTTCTAGAAAGATTTAACAATTTTTTTACTTACTTTATCATATTTATTTCGACATTTGACTACCATGCTATCGTTTCCCACAAAGTTTCTCTGTGGCTGTTTAGCAAATCATACTGTCATTGTGTACTATGACGCGTGTTACGAATTCGTAATATATAACACATCTTTATTTGGACAGACTCGCAGTGAGAGCAATGAAAGAAAACCGTTTTTATCCCCGGGCTATTATGCTAGTAGCAGTTTATTTGGAATTCGATTTTCAACTGATTTTTAAACATGGCCTTGACAACGTAGTATATTAAATGAGAAGTGATCGCTGCGCGCACAAGTGTGCAAAGGGGAAATTTTCTCGACAAAAAAAAATATAAATCTCTTTTTCTGTTTTCAAAAACGAACGAAATTGTGTAACTAAACTGATGAGATTTTAAGTTCTCCAAAAATTATATATATACAGGCGTAATGCTAGAATCTATAGTTTCACGAGAAATATAATGAAAAGACAGTGGATTACAACATCCAAAACCATTCATAGCGATTGCTACTTGAATTTTTCACGACGAAATGATAAAAAAAAAATTATATAAATAGTGAGCACAATCTGTTTCGTGGTAAGCCTACTCCAATACTCCAAACTATATTTCCGTCTATAGTGATCGCATTACGCGAATAAAACTTGATTATCGAAAAAAAAAGAGAGAAGGCAACGCGCGCCTCAGATTTATTAGAGCGAGGGCTTGGCGCAACGTTAGCGCGCATTTCCGGGAGGAAGATTCATACAAAACTGGAGAAAGCCGTTATACGTCGTGGCGTGCGCGAGCTCGATCACGATCGAGTCAGGTCGCTCTTTTCCTTATTCCTCGAACGCCGACGGGACCCTCCTTACATGCGAAACGTGTTTTTTTTTATATATACGTACACCGCTGAAATTTCCCGCTTTTGCCATTTGCGCGGGCTTTCGCTTTTCTTCTCTTCGACTCGATGCGAATTTGCATTCGCGCTTCGCGTACGTACGACAACGCAAAGTTTTTTCTACTTTTCCATTAAAACTTGGTCGTGTCGATTTCGTGCGCATTCCATTCCCACGTTATCCGTTACGAAATATTCGATCGTCAAATGTTTCTTTAGACAACTCATGGGACGTTGACATTATATCATTGTGCATTTTTCATTTTTCGTGGAAGTGTCATTTCAACGCTTCTAGCGGAATGGAACGCTAAGCTGACACTGTTCATCTCACAATATACAATTGCGATTGTACTGTAAAGTTAATTATTCATCTTCGTCATTAGCCACATCTGATTGCAAGTTAGACTTTTCTTCTACCTAACATTACTTCTTCTGAATGTCACCTTTCAAAACACTCGTAATCAAGTTCTTCGCTCTTAATAAATGCTGTAAGTTACCAAGTATACGGGAAAATATCAAACAAACATTTTTCCTCGGATTTTAAGTAAGCATTACATTTTCAAATTATAATAAATTTAAAATAAAAAAACTTAATGAGTACTTTTGAAATTATCTATTTAAATAATTAATAGTTTGATTCAATAAATCGAATGTATATAAATAACAGTGCTGATCATATTTCACAAAGTTATTTCATTGAGATTCTTTATTTCGACATGACGAGTCAACTTGCTTCATGTGAATTGCACAGAAAAGTGCACGAACGCAATTGAACCATCGTACAGCCCAATAAGTCTTCTCGGTTCTCTGTGCAATAAAAGTTGAGCAACTACGCATTTAGTATAGATATAATTTGTTAATTAACATTCTAGGCTGGACCGACAGAAATGGAAGATTGTTAGATAGGCGCTCTTCTTTATTTTGTAACAGATTCGATTGAGCGTCGGTAGCAACTGAAGTATTCAGGACAACGAACTGTAAACTTTTGACTAATCCGAATAACATATGTCAAAATGAATGTAACACTAGCAAATTATTAAGGATGGCGATTACGTGGCCTCGACCGGGCAACGTGTCCCGTATAGAGCGAGCAGGTTCGGTCGTGCGGTTCTTTTTGGGGAAACGCTTAGTGACACGGCAATTAACGCGTAGTGAGCAGACAACGCGCCAACGTCAAGCGTTGACCAATGCCTGTCGGCCATCGAGAAAGATTGGACATCTCTTCGTAATAACCAGCGCGTCGAGGCAATGATGGATTTTCCCTGCAGTTTTCCCGACCTTACCGAGGTCACCAACGTGTCGCTCTCAAACGCTATGTAAGAATATTAGGTTTGCGGTGCGAATGTAAGGTCGACAACAAGAATTTGTCCGAGGGAGAACGCGATTACGAGTAAGGTAGGTGGATTGGGCGAGGAGGTCAGTTGAACCGTGATCGGCACTTCTCCTCCAGAGTTTCGCTCGACTGACGGAGTGGCTACCGATGGGTAGATCCGGGGCCGTACTTCACAGCTCGAGTGCCGCGCACTCTCTCTCGACACCGTTACGACCATTCTCCGAAAGGGAAAAGGTCAGGATTCGGCGATAGCTCCAGGCCTATCCCGAGATTGTTCGCCGACCCACGAGCGAAGTAGAGCGAGAGAGCGCAATCTAGCGCTCGTCGTACGTCTTCGGGTCCTCCGATCCCATCCCCTGCGGCAACAGCCCGAAAGGAATGAGAGGAGCGAAAAAGCAGTAGTTGATCTCAGCGCTTGACCAAGCGCTCGCTGAAGTCACAGCGAGCACTCAAAGCGAAAGTATCGCCATTTTTTTCGACACCAGTTGACAATTTTGAGCCTTCGATAACATCAGCAATAGTGATTATTTACTCAGTCGACCCTCACACGAACGTCTAATGAAACTATAACTTTTTATTTGTTTTTAGGGAAAAAATCAAAATACACCTTTGTGTTTTCAGAAAAAATGCCAGCGCTCAAACTGTTTGGTAGAAAATGGCTCGCAGCCACCGATGATCTCGTTTATCCTGGTCTCTTCGAAATATTTATTAGAATAGTATGGTAAGTCTCTCTCGTACGTAACTGTCTGCGCTACACGTGACTACGAGTTATCCTAATAACTCTATTAATCTTTCTTCTATTTTATACGCGTTTCGAATGATGTTATAACGCATGTTTCGTTCAGGTTGGTACTCGTAGGAGTAGCCTGCCAAAGGTACTACGGCGAAACGTGGAAATGTCGCTCGGGAGGTGATTTGGTCCGAATTTTTCTCGTGGGCGAGCTTGCCATACTTGCCGCCGCCACTATCCTGATAGTATTCATAGTTAATCACAGCGCACGCGGCTCCATAGCCGACACTTATGCACGGCGTTATGTTCAGCCTCTTCTGACTGTCAAGTAAGTAAATAGCAATCTTTTTTCTTCTTTTTTGACTCATTCTCCACTTTTTTCCGAGGAAAAAAGTCTTTGGAATAGTGTCGCCTAATGGTTGCACAAGAAATCGCGTGTCTTTCTTAGCATCGTTTCGGAAAAAAACTTACTATCCAGCCTATAGTGAATCATTTTATTCCCATATTCGCTTGATAAATAACAATGGACTAATTTCAATAGTAAATACGCTTTGTTAAGATTGCTCGTAAAAGCAAACAGCTTGTGTCTTTGTTAACCGTAATTGAAATAAAAATGTGGCACTAACTTTGTGCGTTATTTTTAGAATTCTGCTAATACCATTTGAAATAGTGTGGAACGTTCTCGGCACAATATGGTTATTCAGCGACAGTGTGGAGTGCAGCCCCGAGCATTACACGATCGGCGTAGTGGAGGCATTAGTATTATTCGACTGGGTGCTCGTAGGATTAACGATCTTTGGATTAGCCTTGATCTTCGACCCACTTGGTTCACTGAGTCTGAAGGACAAGGAACTCGAGGACTCGGTCGAGCACAGTAAAGTCTCTAGGATCTGGCTACGGCGGGTCAAGTTTTTCTGGTGGATGAGACGCGACGAGAGTGCCAGCGAGACCTTTCAACATGTTGCTGGTGAGACATAGGTACATGTGGGTGACTCCGTGCGACTTCGGTGCATTTGCGGATTGATCGGGTTTTTATTAAGCGTTTCCCATGATTATGCAACGGCTTGATTGTGTTATTTGAATATTTTGACTTTGACGTTGATGATAAGAAGTTTTAACTGAAAACGAGCGTCAGCTGTCAATTAAATTAACAAAGATTCATGACGAACTGTCTTGTTTTAATTATTTAAATCGACTAGACAATCTGAGACGATCTGACTTTACAAATGATTTCGGCAACCATTATCTTCGTTATAATAAAAAAAAGAATATTTTTATCGAGTGTATCTTATGATATTTGATACTGTCTATAGTTAATGAACCAAGTTTAGCTAATAGGTGCCCGCGTTAAGATAAACGTGAGAAACTCTTAGCAATGGTAGGACGTATATCCCAGAGACAATGTTAACACACGTAGGAAAAGAAGATATTTAGGGAGTGTACATTAAACAGCTTCGATAATTACCTATCTCATTATAAAGACATTAGAGAAATAATAAGCCCACTCATTAAAACTCATTTAAAAGCAAATTGATATTTTTATTTTAGGTCTTTTGAGTGCTCTGTTCCGTGGAACAGATTTGGTACCATCTGACGTGATGGCAGGATGCGTTTTATTGAGAGTCAGACAAAAACGTGAACACCTCGAACTCAAGAGATTGAATCTACTTGAGCGACCTCAGTATGACACAGGTACGTATTTTTTAAGTAAATGTTAAATAAAAATCCGTGATTAAAGCACAGTACTAAATAACGTAGCTGAAGTTGATTAAGTCCGAATGAAGATCCTTGTAAACACAATGAAAAGACTAACGCACTCCGCCAGGTCAACAGGAGACTGCATAACGTTAGTTATTTGGTTGCAGATGCCGTGCGCATATTTGCAAATTCCCCGGACTGGATGTCACTGGAATGGGCTCATCATTACATGCAACTGTCGATCGCGTCCTACGGGTGGCTTTTCGTTATCTATCGTCAATGTTGTACCGGTTGCTTTCACCTTTTGAAAGAGATGACGTGCTGCGCCTGTTGGAGGTATATTTGACAACCCACCAAAGCTCGTCCATCTTGATTGTTCAACAATCTTTTTTTCTCCCCCACGAAAATGAGCACGAGCTTGCTGAACATTAAAGCATATCGACTGACTCATTCGCAAGCAATTGTGCAACTGATCCAATGCTCAGAAAAAGAGCGAATCCTTTTCATATATTTTCAGCATTTCTCTTTGCTTTGTACGAATAAGCGAAACAAACGAGACTGTCTTGATGTCGCCGCCGTTGTCGGAATTCAAGGCTGGTATAATTAACGCGGGCGCGCGCGAGCGAACGAGCAATACGCAAGCAAGAGAAAGGCTTTTTGAAAGCTCATTATACAGTTGAAAATATGAGGCTTTCGAATACAAACCTCGCGATGTAGGTGCACTCGATCTGCGCGACGGGCAAGCATTGCCTTGAAGTGTGGCATTACAATTCGATGCTTCCATATTTACTGTGCATGTAAGTGGCTCTTGTAGCCGTCTCGTCTAGCGACAATTTAATAAGGAAAAGAGAGAAAGCTAACTTCATCGGTGTGAAATATACGAAAGTTCATTCACGATTGTAGTTATAACTTTATATTTTACGCTTGTAAACTTTGAAATTTAATACATTTATGTCGATTACAATGTTGAAGCTCAGTGCATTCTCTCTCACTCGATGGATCTTTGGCGGCGTAAAATCATTCGTCGAATCGACATGATAACACGTATTCTGATCTGACAAATGATATTGGTTTCGCAGGAGAAAGCGGAATATCGTGGTGGACGACAATTGCTGCATGTGCAATCTTTCAGGCGTGAAAACTTTGTCAAAGCTATCCAAGGATGACATCCTTTTTGCGTCGTTCAGAAATCACTTGTGCGAGGTGCGCATACGAAAAACATTTCAAACGTTAACATTGCGCGAGAATATAACGAGACTCGTTTGGCCCTTACGGCACGTATGCTTCACTATTGCAGATACCATTTGTCGTGGTGGCCGATCACAAAACTTCGAGCATCATCATTGTTATACGTGGCTCGCTATCTCTCAGAGACATTATAACTGACATTGCCGCGGCTTCCGATTCGTTCGAACCCGAAGGTTTTCCGTCCGGAAGCATGGTGAGTTATTAATGTTTCGCGTATTACGATGTATTCGCGATGCATTCGTGCATGGAAACATTGCAAATCAATCAGTTTGACCATCACCTTTTCCATTCAGGCGCACAAGGGAATGATCATCGGAGCTAAAGTGATATTAAAACAATTGGACCAATATAAAGTCCTTGAAAATGCATTTAATATGTTTCCTCACTATGACCTCACGCTCACAGGTAACAAAATTATATAAATTCCAACTTTTCTTCTGTGTCTCGAAAATTATTTATCTATCATACTTTTTTAATTCTGAATAAAAAATTTTCTCCTTTAAAGGTCATAGCCTTGGCGCTGGATTAGCCGTGCTATTAGGTTCTCTTATTCGTCCTCGTTATCCTCATCTGAGGGTTTACGCTTTCTCGACTCCCGGTATGAGACAAACTTTTATATTGAATGCATGTACGAAATTAATGAATTTATTTTACTTTACAGCTGGATTATTAAGTCGTGAAGCAGCAAAAGTGACTGAAGAATTTGTTCTATCAATAGGACTGGGTGATGATTTAGTTATGAGACTTAGTGTTGATAGTATGGAAAATTTTCGAACGTCTTTGCTGATAACTTTACAGGCTTGTAGACTTCCAAAGGTAAATACATTCAAATGTCATGAATTACGACAGTATTTTATTCCCTGATACTGGATATACTTTTTTAATGAACTACATTTTTTTCAAATGATAAGAAATAATAATGTAACAGAATTTGTAGTAATATAAGTATAAATTTATTTCACAATTGCAGTATAGAGTGGTTCTAAATGGATTCGGTTACATGTTATTTGGCGTTCCTGACAGAGATTTAAATAGAACGTGGAGAAATGGAAATACAATTAATTCCATTCCAGGACAATTGCCTCTTCTTTCGGAAACATCGACACGACAAACTGTTCGTAACGTATAAAATTACAAATTACTACTCATGAAATAAACAATTTTTATAACGTAATTTATAAACTAATACGATGTCGGTTCAAAATAATAAATCTATCTTATTTAAGGCATACATTTTACGTTCGAAGAAACTCAAATCCAATAAAATAATTTTTTCTTAATTATATTATATGTATGATATATATAAATATTCACAAAAATTAATTGGCTAGAACAATTACTTAGTAATTATTCATTAAATAACAAATTTATTATAGTTTATACAAATATTATAGTAGACACTTAAAGTATAACAAAATTCATTTATGCATAAAATTAATAACAGTGAAAATTTATAGGAGACGACAATTTTAGAAAGAGATGTAACTAGGAGAAGATATTCGAAGGTTAGATTATTTACAGCCGGTAAAATTTTACATATTGCTCGATGCAAACCAGCATCGAAAGAAAAGAAAAAGTAAGTTACTCAAACATACATTATCGTTTTTACATTTCAAATTATTGAATAAGCTCTAATGAATTAATTTGTTAATCATAGAAAACAAAAAAATAAAGAGAAAAGATTTGAGATGCGTTGGGCATCTCCAGAAGAATTCATGGAACTGTCTGTGATGCCTCGTATGCTTTTAGACCACTTGCCAGAAAATCTCGAAGAGTCTTTGGCCATTCTTGTCAAACAGCAAGACGAGTTTATACGATGATTCGCTACAACTACCTTAAACACATCAAACCAATGTTACCGAGCGTTTAGTTTAATATAAATTTGACTATTCGTTTGAATCTTACACTAAAACAGGCAGTATTTCTTTGTAGCAATAATGAATTTAGAGTAAGCTTAGAAACGTTTTTATACGCCTTGATTATGTACATAAATAAAATTTTAATTTTAATAATTAATATTGTAACAAAATTAATATCGTTAATTAGATAATTTTGCTTGAATTCCTCTTATTAATTTAAATTATAACAACTTGCGTTTATAATTTTATAGTTAAACGTCGCTATTAGTTGTCGTTTGGTTATCGAGTCTTAAATATTTACCAGCTGTCGACAAAAGGCTTACTTCACAATCGAAAGTGACCTCCGTGTAAATAATAAATCGTAATGTGACTAAAACGATTGACAAAAACTTATTTATTATAAAAATTCGAAAAGCTATTTATTAATATTCACGTGTACTTGAAACCCGGTGACGTGCTGTACGAAAACTTATCTAAACGATTTTGCGCCTCAAAACTGTGAGATGAAAAGTTTTCGTCTATAAAGTCGTCGTCGTCGAATTCAACTTTATTAGTTGAGACGTGTGATTCGTTACTAATAGCAGTCTGACTGTTGTTATACAACTCCGTGATTCTCTGTCCACTGAGTACCAAACGGTATGGATCAAATGGAAAAAATGTATCCAGCCAATTCAGCGATTGATAACGATTTGAACTGTACTGCACTGGAAGATTACTTCGCGCATTTCTTTCGATGACCGTGTAACAGTAAGCTAGTTGATATTTTCTCGTAACAGCCGCAAAATTTTGCACAACTGCTGATTGACAGACTTTCAATGGGTTTAATCTGCACGTGACTATTTTATTAAGATTCAGTCCTTCTAAGAATCGCAGATCTGAAAAAATAAATTTAAATAGATTTATTTAAAAAATAAATAAAATGTACAATTGAATGTTAAGATCTTACTTCTTTCCCCATCCATTAGATCCTTATGTCTGAAAGCTAACAAATAAAACATCGCTTGGCATACTGAGTAAAACACGGCATGAACGCGCACGTCACTGTTTGCACATTCTAAACTATCTTGTGAACTAATATAACTATGTATCCATGTAGACATTTCTGATAAAACTCCTTGGATTAATCTAAAATCGATATCGTTAAATTAATTAAATCGTCAATCAGCGTTTTAATATTTTTAATAGAAATGAATTATTTCTTACCCAATAGTAACATATGTCGCTCTTGCTAGTAAACTAGCAATATACAATACAGCCGATTGTCTGAGAATCGGGGCTACATTGGGATTAGAAACTTTTTGCCATAACCATCTAACAAATGCTTCTGTAACTGCTGATTTAAAACTACAAAGGTAGAACATGAGGAATTGAACGTGGTGACTGGCATATGTTGGCAAAATTAGTTTTTCAAATGCATATAACAAATCATTATATATGCTCTTCAACGGATCTATTTGCAGTTGACCGTTAACGTAACAAAAATTATGAATGTATGACAGTATTTGTTCCATACAAATATCCAACATTTGTGCACCTGGATGTTTCATTTGCATATCAACTGTATTTTTGCCGTTATTTTTAGCAGTGGAATCATCCATATCAAATATTGCTTCATCTTCATCTTCTTCCATATCACCATCTTCAAAATTTTGAATTTCTGAAGGTGGTACACTCACATCTAAAGCAATAAGCCTGACAAGAATAGTTATAGAATAAAATTAATTTTTCAAATTAATTAGATATTTAACTAATAATGTGGTATTTTTGAATTATACCTGTCTATAATTAAACATAGAATGTCTTTCCTTAATTGCGGTGCATAATTCATTATATGAACTAAAGCAAGCAAATATTGTTCTGTTACTAAAATTCCTTCTGAAGTGTGTGGATATATAGATGTAAGGCTCTGAACTAATAAACCACTTGACCTAGAATTGAAAAAATGTACTAATTATAATTCAATAGCACATTTATATATTGTCAAAAATAATAAAAAATTCATATTCTACATACATTGGTATTAGCTGCAGAAACTTCTTTAATAAATCGTGAATATGGCCAATTTTTGCTATATAACTTTCAGGACACTTTCCATTGATCCATTGTGTAGCACCTTCATCAGCTAAAAAGGCAAATTTGTTATTTAAAATTTAAATGATATAGATGACATGTACATACTTATATAATTTTGTTTACTTACTTGATCTAAACTTAAAAATCAGCTTATTAATTACCAATTTGGAATGATAAATGTGCATGCACAGTAATTCCAAAACAAATTTTTTAAAACATGCTGTTACTTCAGGAGCTCGATTGATCCAACTAATATTGAGAATAACTTCAATAAAAAGGGAGTGAACAGATCCAAGCATCGACATACATTCTTGGAGATCTTTAAGTAGCTCAAGTAATTCATGATCCTGTCAACAGGGTTTTCATAAAGTTAAATTTAACAAAATTTTGATAATTACCATAAAATTTCGATTGTTTAAAGTTACAATGATGCTCATTAAAATCTTATAATAAATTAATAACTACCTTAACATTAGAGTCACGAAGTATGCAAATCATATCCTGATATGCTTGGCGATCACGTCCATTTTCGTAATTTAAGAGCACTGTTTTCAAATCTCTTGGTAATTTGAAGCATATTTTCTTTTGTGGTCCAACTAATGCAGTTCTAACTCCAGATCCTTTCAGGATTGAAGATACACTGGTAACTCGAGATGAAACTACAGACATCTAAAAATAGAGTTAAGTGGTAATTTTTAGAAGTCTTTCACTTTTGAATTGGACTGAATCGTTTTTGAACATAATGTTTACATCTACAATGTGCCAATTAAAGTATAATAAGTTACAAATAACACAATATGTTGATATTTTATAATAAAAAAAGATGTGATTATTTTATTTAAATAGTATTGGCTGAAAATTACACGTTGCGTAAAAATAATACCGACCGTAATAAGGTCTAATTTTGACATACGGATTCACAAAGTACCATGTGCACCATTTGATAGGTTATGTCTGAATTGAAGAAGGTACTTACTTTGAAATCTAGGATGAAATATGCTGAAAATATACAAACAACTATTCAATTTCGATTAGAATAAACGCTACATGTAACAATATTAATTCCTTTTTCGTGCTGTATCCTATAAAATCTAATTTTTTTGTGCCGCAGCATGACCGCGTGTTCACTCTTATAGACGCTACTGACATGCACTAACACTATCGCAATTACGCCAAGTTATAACTATGGACGCACAAACTAAAATTTCGTAAAGAAACAATTTGATCTACTGCACGCAATGTCTACTATGAACAAATGGGTTTTTACGATTTTTCGATGTTTGTTATTATTTATTCAATTTTATAAGGATCTTAGATAAGTATTAATTTATAAATATAATAATCCATTTTTCTGTATTGTCAATGCCATTTAAATAAAATGTTTATAATAAATAAAACATAAAATAACATATACCATTTATAAAGAACATTTACAATAAATTAAAAAAGTACTACAATAGTCATATTTCAAACTTAACAATTTTTTATTTGGAAACTACATGCTGATTGAATTATATTTACCTAGTTACGCATATACATGCACTATACAATTGGAAATACAAGCTATATTCATTATAACTAATATTTAGCAAGTAAATTTTGTCCTTTTACATTCCATAACATAGTAGTTGAGAATTATAGTAAGAGGCAAAACATTGATTATAAATTATGAGGTCTTGGAGTTGTGAGTTCAGATATTGAATTTTATTGTTGAATATAAACAATTTTATTGCCAAAGTAAGCTGTAACAAAGAAAAATATTTTCTCATTGAAAAAAGAACTAAATAATTTATATATTCAACATTTATTTAAATATATACTAAAAATTAGTAAAATATTTTTAAATACTCACTGCATAAAAGAGAGATCAGGCATACCAGGATCCGCTCCTTTTCGGAATCCTAAAATAATATTAATTATTATTATATTTTTTGCAAATAAAATCAATTGCAAGCAATAATAATCAAAATAGATGCATCGATTTTTAACTAATTCATTTACATGCAGTTAAACTAACCTAGATACAGAACTGCTGGAATGAAACCCCAATGGAAAACGGTTTTTGACACGTTGAGCACAATTGAAATTTTTTGTTTAGTTTGCGGCGCCAGCGACATTCTGTCAACTATTTTTTGAGCAGCAATTTTAACGAATATAATATTTATTTGACACGTGTAAATGCGATTTCTGGTGAATGTCACAGCTGCAAGTCAACGTGAATTCTGTGAAAATAACTAGATTCTTCAGTGTCATTTTCCATGTTCAAAATTCATAATGAAAAATTCCCTAGAGTAGAGATACCAATAGATTTTTGCATACACATCAACGCGCCATACCTATAACCCTTATGTTCCGACATTTTATTGTTTACACTGTAGTTGTGAATAGCAATCACGAATTTCTATTTAATGTCACAATATTGCGTTATTTGTACCAAATGGTGTAGGCGTAGATTATTTTAAAAGTTGTAATAATTCCATTTATTACAGTATTTTTGATATAACAATGACAGATTGCACAAGAAAGATAATTGTGATACTTTTGTTTTGGATATCTGAACTAAGATTGGTAAGGCAACATTAAACTGATTATTATTAAAAGGTTAACTATTTATTATTCTATATTCTGCAACATAATTAGTATTTAATATATATTTCAGATATCATCATTACCATTACCATATTGTGAATTTGATACTTGTAATGAAAATGAATATTGTTGTGGAGATGATGAATGTTGCACAAAATCACATAATAATATAACGTAATTACAAACATGTACCAATTCTCAAGAGATGATAAATTCTATAATATTGACCTTATTTGTTACAGGGTGTGGGTATTTGTTGGATTGTTCATAGTTATACTATTTTTCATTGCAATATACAAAAATAAAAGTTGCTTGTATAGATTTTTCTCAAGAGGATCAGAATCTGAATTGCTTAATTCTAAAATTTAGCTAATTATACATATGATTTACGAGATTAATATCAATAACTTCTGGCCTTGCTTCAATGTGTATGTTTACTTTAATACCATAAAGTGTGATTCATCAAGTATTAATCATGTAGAATAGATATAGTATGGTTTTCACGATACTGCTATAAAATAATACATATCTTATTGTAAATACATACAAAGAAATTGCAATAATTTTGTAAAAAGTAAATTAGTGAACTTATTTGGTATAATTATTAATTTAGATCCTGTGGTGCTCAATAATATGTGAAAATCTTATAACTATTTGGTAAATATCTTTTTAATATTTATAATAGAATACTTTAATTTTTATAAAAGTAGACTGTTCCATTGATCATGTAATATTTGAAAGTATATGTTGTAATAACTTTTTGCATCTATGTTACTAAAATAAGATTTTAATTGTAAATAATAATTAAAAATAAACATTTTGTAAATATAAAAATAATTTCTTATTTCTTACACTACTAAATTCCTATTTCTATGGTTTTTAATCAATTACAATTTTTAAATTTTACAAAAATTAGCAAAATGCAATATAAGCCTATTTTAATTATTTGAAATGTTGCACCTTTGCATCTCAGTATTGGCTCACCTGCTTCTGACGTCATATCGAGCTCCGAAATTTGAAAATCAATAATTGTCGGTCTCACGTACATACTAGTCGGTGCACATGACAGTTCAAGAAGGAAATGGCTGTCATGGTAAAACATAGAGTTAATTGTGCACCGTCTGTGATTTATTAAGTTAATAATTAATAATTTACGTCTTCGAAAAGCATGTCGCGAAACACAAAGTGGCAACTCGCGGTCATTGCTGGAATATCAGAATGTTTAGTTTACGTACGTATCACTCGCACGTTTTCCATCATCATTCTTTTCTATTTATTTTGTATATCATTCGGAATTTATTCATATAAAATCTCAAAAATACGTGCAGAATAACTACGGTATTTATGCACAATGATTAAAACATGATTGTTATTTAAGAATTAGTATGAGATGCTTTAATTAAAAACGTACATTTTATTTCATCATCATTTGTTTGTTTCAAGAAAAAGTTTATATTTACATGATAATATATTTGATAAAATTTCAGGCAGAAGCAAAATATTGTGCCTTTGAAATACATGGAGAACCAAAGTATTATGCGTAAGTTATCAATCGTTAGGTTGAATATAATCTAATTAGAGTATACTTCACACAGAGGAATACACTTTTATTTCTAATAATTATTTCTCTATAGGTGTCCACAAACAGAGTACTGCTGTAACTTTGGTTGTTGTGTGTCACCAGGGTATCAAATTTATCACCTCTGGTATTATTGGTAAGATTTTAGATGACACATCTATGAATATTAATATGTACCTATTTGTCTCAATAAGGGATCCTATCATAAAACTTAACAATTGCAGGTTACTGGTAATAATTATGTTTCTGGTATGCTCTGGTGGGGGTTGGTGGTATCGGTACTGGTTACAAGGAAGATATAGGACAGCAGCTTCTGCCATTCCGAGTAGATCTTCCAGTTCAAGGGTACATAATCCTCTTCGAGGTCCAACATGTCAAGCTCAACAAGCCAGAATATCGTACAATACAGCAAGAAATACCGTCCTTTTACACAGAATGTGGAAAGGTGAAATGTTGAAACATCTAAGTCGAATTTAGTTGGTTTGATATTTTATTTAAAATGCTTTACAATTGAACACAACTGTTTTGATTTAGTCTATTGTTATATTTTTAAAGTAGGCCTTGAACAAATGGTTTTAAAATCAAAAAGCTTCATTGCTTTTCTGGTTCAGGTTATTTAAAATAGAATCTTTAATGAGTTTAAAAGTTCTAATGCTTTTGAATGAAAAGGCATGTAAATTATCATACTTTCAGCACAAAGGAGCGTAACATCGCCAGCGTATTGCAACACTGGCGGGGCAGCCAGCTCAGCCACGCACTATCAAAATACCTCGGTGGTGCTGAATGACGCGAACTGTCCATATTACCAGTTATATGGACCGCCGCCGAGTTATGAGACTGTGATTGCGCAGACGAGGGGCAAAATGTCGAGTCCATCGTCATCGCCGGAGTTGCGGGTTCATCCACGAGTGCTGCAGCCGCCAGCCCCATCCTCGGGGGACACAGCTTTTCAGTGCTACTACAACGTCGCCGCGAGGATGCCACTCGAGGGGGCACCGCAATACCAGCAGCAGCCCGCAGGTCAGACAGCTGGATTTGACACGGCCGAGTACGTGCGGCTGGTGCAGCAATACGGACCCGAGGCCGCGATGATTCAATCGCCAAGACACCAACTTACTAGGCCCAAGCTACTCACCGATTCCGAGGTCGAGCAGCTCGCCGCTGGTGTTCGACTTGACAGTCCTATCGAGGGTGGCTTCACCATCACCAGTTGCTTCGATAGCTCCTGCGCACTTGATCGCCAGCTCCACTCTTTCTCTTCCATTGGCAGGCTCAACTCACGACCAGGGTGAGTGTCTAATGTCTCTTTCCTAATTCTGTTTTTGTTAGACATTAATTTCAAACTGAACTAACTTGCCCACTGAACATCGATTCGACACTTATCCGACGATATACTTATATCCGTAAGCGAGCTAAATAAAGTCACGTCTGACGGCATCTGACCTTATTCTACTTGAATCTACAGTATACAACTTTTAGAATCAGGCTAAAGTTACTTCCCTCTCGACAGTTTACAAATTTGATAAAATATTTTAGGTATTTTAGAGGCGTGAAGGTGAAGTAAATTGACTCACAAATAACTTTAAAATACTCTATATAATATAAAGACAAATTTAGGCCAAGTGCGTCACGTGTAAACGAACACTACATAATTGTGAAGAGACGCGCGGGTACAACTAACTGTAGCGAGATGAGATGTCGATATACTCACTCGATGAATGCCTGTGGAACGTCGCCGGAACGTACTTCGGCGCCCCTCGGCGTGAGCATGTTCCGACTCGCTTGGTTGTCATGGAAAATCGAAAGATTAAGTGGATAGTCAGTGTCATGTATGGCGCAGACTGTAGTAGCTCCTTCGCGAAAATTTAATGTCCAATGATTCCGTATTAGCAATAAATAAAGACAACATATTTTGGGAAATTTCCACTGGCAGCATAATACGATATCGAAAAATTGTAGTGTGCATGGGCAGTCACGGCGAGGCAGATACGACTCGGCAAGCTCGTCCCAATCGGAGCTACTCTCAGAGGAACCAGTGGCTACGACCTCGTCGTCATTGGGTTTCGAGCACTATCCCGCGTTGTTGACTCATCAGCGAACGAGCTCGAGCTTACGCAAAGGTGGTTCGCTGAAGATTCCGCGTAGGCGCGAGCAACTGAGGCAGCTAGCGAAACGTCGACTGAGTTCCGGAGCTGCCGAGGCTGCAGCATTGGCGACGGCAGCAACAGCAACAGCCACCACCTCGTCCTCCCAACCCAGTCCATCCAGCAATGTGATATCAGCTGCGGCCGCGACTGCCCACCAAGACCAATTACAGCCGCAACAGCGCTCTCCGAGCAGTACAAATTCTAATCTCGAAAGTAGGCGCAAACTCGACAGGTCTCGATCCCTCGAGTGAGATACAAATGCCTGTTGAGCTTTTAGTTTGTTGACATGTGTGTGTGTGTGTGAGAGAGAGAGAAAGAGAGAGAGAGAGAGAGAGAGCAAGAAAGAGAAAGATGACCGTGCGAAATATATTCTGCCATCGTCGGAGACTGTCAGGCCAGTTGTTAATTGTAATGTATATACTTACTTTTGTCAAATTTGTCAGATCATTTACGTGGATATGCGCATCTTATGATTGCTTTTTTGATACATTCTGTTTTTTATATTGTTGCCAATTACAGTTATTAGGTCTAAGTTACGTTAGTTGAATGTATCGTGCCATCGCTGTATATTTTATAAAAATAAAAGCGTGGATTTTCTTTTTTATTTTTGGAAATCTGTGAATTTTGGTTATCATGAGATGTACATATAAGTTTTTCTGTTATGGACGAAGACTGCGAAACCGAACAAAAAAACAAAGAAATAATAATTTTGTTTTAATGCGATCGAGGAAAATCACGTTATAATTTAATAACGAAACTCGCGTGAGAATTATCGAAAAAACGAGATTTTATTCTTGCATAAACCGGTGTAACGTTTGCCATTTTTGCCAGATGCATATATTGCTCCTTACTTCGATCGACGTAACAAATAATGCCCAACTCAGCAATTACCACAGCATCGTTGAGAATAATACCTTCTTATAAATTACTTTTAAAAAGATATATCTGGAAAAGACAAACAAACGAAATATCCCAATCATTCATTGTTACACTATCATGAATTTGGTAATTACGAAGACCTTGGGATATTCGACTTTTTAATCCTTTTTATACTCACAAAAACAGTTTTGTTGATTATATATTCTGATATATCCTTTTTTAAAGTAATTTGCCAGTCCGATACACTGTTTATCAAAAACACAAAGTGTTTTGATAGCTGACTAAGCTGAAATATTCTAAAAGATTATAAATTTAGGCTAAAACTATATGGTAAATTAAGTTTATATTTTTGAGAACAACCAAGCCAGAGTTATTATTCAAAAACTTTCACTGACCCTTTACACACAAATATCTTCGTTTCTATTTTATAAACGTGTAACATAAGAAATACTCACCATCATATCATAATTATAACAATCACTTTATTAAGTCTGTGTAGACAAGTTAACTAGTAATTTGAAAAATGTGATGTTAATTTAGTATACGTAAAGTGGTATAATCACTTTTCAACACTCCGTACGGAAAGCACATACTTTCCGTACGCTCGGCCAAAAATGTGCGTTCAAAAACAAGATTTTTGACACTCCGTGTAGAAAGCACATACTTTCCGCACGCTCGGCCAAAAATGTGCGTTCAAAAACAAGATTTTTGACACTCCGTGTAGAAAGCACATACTTTCCGCACGCTCGGCCAAAAACGTGCGTTCAAAAACGAGCTTTCTACACGTTGTATCAAAAAATACGGTACGACACATGTTCGGGAAAGAATTTCTCGTCTCGTGTGTCTTTCCACTCTCGCTTCACTTGTAAACCCCACACGAGATAAGAATCTACTTTCCCGCACTTATATCGTAATGTACTATTCCACATGTCGTATCGAAAAATACTGTACGATACATGTTCGGGAAAAAGATTCTCGTCTTGTGTATCTTTCCACCCTCGCTTCGCTTGGGCGTAAACCCCACACGAGATGAGCATCTACTTTCCCGTAGTTGTATTTTAATGTACTATTATCGCACTGGCGATGCTATAAATTGCCTACGCACTCCGCAATCAGCAAAAGTTGCATTTGTTTATATTTTTATGATTCAATTATTGTTGAAGCGTTTATTTACCTATACTGTTCCTATGTTTTTCTATCGAATGTGAAAAACATTTTTATGTTCTAGCAAGAATTTTATTTTCTTGTAAATTTTTTTATTGACCTATTTGTAAAACGAGACAACAAAACTTGGTTGCCAGCTTCAAAATGCATAGAAACAAACAAAAGGATCAATAAAAACATTCCAATTACTGTTACTTTATGGTGCAATATAGGGATGGTTTTGAAAGTACGTTAGACTTGAAAAGACTTGAAATAATGTTCTAAATGTTAAACGACATTCGTAGCAATACTGTCGTAATTTTTTTCATCTCGCTGCTCTAGTGTTTGAAACACTTTATGAACCAAGTCGCTATGATATGCGCGTCTCAGCATGTTTCTTTGTCAATATTAAGTGGACTTACGCACAACTCTATCATATACGCGCACACGAATATAATTCGATTTTTTAATTTCACTCCTTAATATAGGAAAATATACAAATGAATAAAAAATATCTCTATTTTTAACGTGTAACGTACTTAATGTAAATCTACACTATAACAATGGTCGAACGAGCGCGACGAAAACTTCGTTATTTTCTCTATTGCAAAAGATCGCCCACTCGTTTCGGCGTAGGATTTTTCTAAAAAATTCTATAAAATAGTAAGAACCGTGGTTCATTGTCCTATAAGGGCAACGCTCACGGATAAGTAGATTACGCTTGGTGTGAAAAAAAAAAGAACTTTCGAGTGAAAAAGCATCAAATCGCGCTTGAAGTGTTGTCTGGGTAATATACTGTACGAGTTTTTCAAAAAAAAAAAGGGTATAACTATAGGCAACGAGTGAAGGAGTGTGCTTTTTTCGTAAGTGTGTAACGTAGTTGAAAAAGAGTCGCAAGTAGAAAGCTTCTAGAAAAATAAAATATTTTCGTGATAAAGATGATCTCGAGTTGTCTGTTAAAAAAAGGCCAACTTGCTTTCCTTTTTTTAATGTCTATGTTGAGTGAATGGTGTTTTTTTCTATTTTTTTAACCAAAACCGATTTTGTACTTGTATGGCATTGACCAATACTTATTAGTATTAAATAAATTTTATTGTTCTTCTAACATTTTGCTAAATTACATAGTTCGTAAAATAAGCATTAATTGGAGTTTTAGTATTGGTCATGATATGGTTTCGATTTTCTAAACTACTTTCCAACGAGGGAGAACGTGAAAAAAAATAATAATATTGTCGTTTAGCTATTTGTGTTAGACAAACATTGAACATTTTGTTCCTTCTCTCAACTCGAAATAGCGGTCCAAAGTGTATGTGCCAATAGCAGAAAACAAAGTACTCGGTATAGGTATTATTGGTAAGAAAAGAAAATATTACTCGAGCGTAATGAAGTAAAAAGTATGCAACACTTTCAAAGTGACGAATCTGTAAATGCACTGTCAGAGACAAATAGTTGATCTGGCATGTTGCCAGGCGATACATGAACTACGTACACAATTATTTTTTGTAATCTTCCAAGTCCTTGTCACAAATTGTATTTAAAAACTGTAAATTCCACGGGAAAGCACCATATTGCATGATATTGCCGTAAATAACGTATTCCGATATTCTAAACTAAAATGAAAAAAAGATTTTAAAAAAGCACCAGCAAAAGACAAATAAGTGAACGAAAAACATTATTCGATGTATCGACATTTCTATCAATTAGAACAAATCTATCTATCGAAGAAATTTTAGGACTATACGAAACTACGCAATGTTTATTTCCGTTACATGAGCTAATTCATTTCCAACTGCCATACGTTAGACAACCTTTCAAAAATAATCGCATAAAATGTAATGTTGATACATTGATTGCTGATCTTGGCTAATAGATCGATCGATCTAAACGAGTGAAGCTTAAAACGGTGCGAACGAAACTTGCTCTTTTATGATATTGTATTGTGCAGAAAAGAAACTATTCGAATTGAATTGACCAGAAAAGGACACTGTAAAATATTGTAACTAATAAAATAATGTCTTATTGAAAATAAAGACATACGAAATATTTATTCACATAGATGTGATGCTGTTTGTTTTCTCCTCGCCTTCATCACAATGCATTGTTCATGAAAATATATGCATGTATAACCAAATAAAATCAAAAGACTCGGAATTATTATGTAAGAAAGGCATTATTGAAAATTAATTGAACTGACGCGAAAGTACATATGGACGCCACGTGGTCGCTCATCAATCGACGCTTTCTGATAACGATAAGTTTTTAGGCGTCCCGCGCGCAGGTGTCACACTATCGATGGGCACACAAGCGCATATCCAAGCACATGTTTGTATATCCCGTACATACGTATACGCACGCAGTTGGCGCAAAGGGAAATCAATAAAGGAACGAGCAGTGGAGGGGTCGAGACGCGCAGAGACATCATCCCTGCGGTCGTAGTCGAGGTTTTTTCACAAGAGCTATCTTCCATCTTTTACGCGCAAGACAATGCCTCGCTCGTGAGAGATTCGTTACGTTTATTTTCGTCTTTTTCCGTTCGATCCGAAAAACTTGCACCTTAATGCGGAACATCGCGGACAAAGTTACGACCATCGAAGTTAGCTGTGCCCTAGAAGCTCCCGGTTCGCAGTAAGCCTTTTCCTTTTGCGGCATGCATCTTCCATGGTAATATTTACGGCTGTTTACTTCCAATTCCGACCATCATGTCTGTGAAGGTGAGCTTCACGTTAATCTAACAAACACACGCACTGCGGAGAACAATTTTGTCGCTGCCATTTTTTATCTAAACGCATAAAGTAAGGGTTATACAAGTTCAACACTCTGTCGTTTGACATTGGCATTGATTGTTATAGAATAAACTTTCGTATTGTGTTTCCCAGTATACGTATTGCTTCAACTAGGTTATTTATTATTTATTAGAGTTGATATTGCCTAATTATGTATATAGTCAATTTGAATGTCGTATTTTTGTAAAAAGTGTTGTGGCTACCAATTTCGACCATATTTTTTTTATGTTATTTGTCAACATTAGAGTGTTTTTATGGATGATATATATTGCAAAATAAATTGTAAGATTAGCTGATTTGTTTGTTTTACAAACTGAAATTTGATTAAAAATGCATGCAACATGTAATTCATCAATGATGCTAAGACATTATTTAATTAATCAATAAATGCTGTTTGGTACCATTTTAGCAAATGTTAATACTAAAATTATTCAGAATGATGAATATTCCTTAGAACTATAATCTCAGTGACCGAACTCAAAAATATTCATGATAAATTAATGTATGGCTTATATAGATTATCGATTTTTATTGATATACTTATTGCATGCAACTATGAATGCAATTGTAATTGATATTAAAACAAAATGAAAAGTTTCAATCTATGTAAGTAATTTCCGAAATATTAAATTTGTGAAAAATCGTAGCAGAAGAAGAAACATCGCAATCGGAGAAAAATTGCTTTCGTTCGATAAGCTTAAAGTACATTTAAATCTACCAAAAGTCCCAGACAATAATTGTCGTTCCGTGTCTCCAGGAGGGGTTGTGAAATATCAGAATAACCTTCCTTCAGTGGCAAACGAAAACGCCATTAGCAGCGGGAGGTTCTGCGCAATCGTAAGATGGAAACTCACGTGTACAAGCAGCGCGAGTCGCTTGACGCACTGATGAAATTAATCTCTATTATCGATCAGAGCGCCTGCCAGAACGAAAACAACAATTCCTTTTCTTGTTTGTCTCGTCATCTCGGGTGGCGTGGATCGATCGTCGCAAGCCGTAAAAATAAAAAAAAATGTTCCATTGCCGCACGGACATTATACAAAAGCTCAAATGAAGCCTATATATGCGACGTATACACAAAAGCAAGTCGCGGCGCGGACTTTAAGTGCTTGTTTCCTGCTGCCTCGAACGCACACGTTAAAATCGTGAGTGTGTTGGAAGATCGCACAAATAGTCTGGAGCTTGCGTGGTATGCTGGGCCGGTGCGTTCAATGCGGGCTGTAAATAACACGCGAATATACATCTCGGGCGTAACTGGGCTTGTTTAATTAGACAATACGGCGATCAAGCGTACAGCATATATATCGCTCTGTTTGGCCACGCGATGATGCTATAGCCGGCGTATAACGTGTGCTCGAGCGACGCATTCAATCGAGACCTCGTTGTCACCCTCTTGGCGATTGATTATTATTGATTGGAAAATGTCCTACGTGTGCTGACGTGTCGGTGTAAAATGCTTTTCCAGCAAATAGATCGGAAAATGTCTCAAGTGGAGTTTTTCGATGGATGGACAAATTTGGACATCGAACGATCGAAAATTAAAAAAAAAGTGTCAATTTGAATGTGCCGCATGACGAATACGCGTGGCAATGTAGATCGGCTGAGCTATTTTAGTGGATCCTTCCACTTGATTAACTCTAAAATCAAACATCGCCAAAAGCAAACGTATTCATCGATCTCCTCAAATACGCAAATATCCGTTCTGATATTCTTGTTTATAAATGTTGATGTGACACCAGGAAAAAGTTTGATAAGACTGCAATCCATCGAATCTTGTTTCATTTACCCGGAGGTGAGAAAAAAGAAAAAAAAAATAGAATTTACCTAGAAGAAGGAGATGTGATGTGAGATCATTTTCCAATCGCACGGCATATAAATCGTATTTCCCCGCGGACAGTTGTGCTGCTGGCGTCGCAAGCGAGACTATCAGCCGTCGTCTCTGCGATCTTCGACATCACAGCGCCCGCGTCCGTGTCGGCTGATGAGCAATAGCGATACATCGCCTCTTGCGCGTGTCACGTGTGTACCCTGTCGACCAAGCTTCCCCTCTCTCCCTCAGATTTTCCGCGCCAACCGAACGAAATAGTCGGCGCAGTCTCGGGCCTCCCTTCGCACGCGCACTCGTCTGTCCGTATCCGACTGACTCGTGATTAATTCCACGATCCCTGAGTCCTTTGAAGGACATCTTCTTTGCTGTCGGTGCGTTTTTCTTTTACAAATTTTAAGCATGAGAAGTTGCTGGATTTGATAATTATTAGAATACGCATTTTCGAATTGAGACTAAACATTCGAGCCTGGACATAAGCATTTGTTTTGAAGCGTTTCCGTTAAAACTTGCGCACTTAGAGATTTGATTGCACTAATTAATAGAATAATGTAATCTAAGCGCAAGTAATAAATAATACAATTCTAAAAGTGGAAAAATATAAATCTCAAAGAGGTTTTTCATCAGTAATACCGTAATACAGATACTAAAACACTGTTCAAATGACTGTTTGCGAAAGAAATATAAAAAAGGCGAGAAATTAATGAAAAGACCGATGTGGAATGAAACTAATCGACATCCGTTCGAAGCAGTCTAATTTCGCTCGAAGAAAACACGAACTTGCAAATCATCCAAATCACAGTCGTGACGTGCACGTCTACCCTTGACCGCGTTCAAGTCTCTGTTATCGTATGAGAAACATCAGTCGTACGTAGCGTATATTTGAAGCAGATGTGCGGTCTGCCGGGTTCTGCATAAACATGAAGCCAGATCGCCTGGTCATATATATACATTCGTAGCCAGAGAAAAGAGAGAGGAGCGTGAGATAAGCTTGCTTGAAACCGCCACTACAGAGGCACGCTTTCAAAAAACGAGCGCTGAAAGTCATCCAAACGCTTGTATTTTTAGACGGCAAACTTAATTTTATATATATATATATGTGTGTGTGTGTATATGTATATATATATAGCTGAATTGCGGCGTTTTGCAGCCATGGCAAGCTGTGCGGACCTTCGCGGTACGGAGCGGTTCAATTTTATTAATTGTGCTGCTATGCGCACTGCCGGAAGGCCAAGCACGCGTCGAAGCCTGAACGACTGCGAACTCTCGAAGCCAATCGGCACCGGTGAGTCGTGCAGCTGTTTTCTATTCTGCTGGCGAACCGAAGCCTTCGATCGTCGAAATCGCGTTTATTTCTCTGGCGCTTTTCGCTCGCTCTAACGAAACTTGCGATAATACTTGCGAGTACGTTCGGCGGTTCTCTACAGACGTAACGCCGCTACCGTACGGAAAAATGTAAGATTACGGAATGTAACTCCCATGCGCAAGACAGATCGTAGATAACTCCTGTATTTAACGCTTGCATTTTTCTCGATCTATTGCAATATTAACAAGTACGACAGGTTGTTTGTTTGCGTTACTATTTTGATTGACAATATACGGCTGTGTTATAAGTTATTAGTGTTTCTGTAGAAATAGAAATGGTACCCTGTAAAATAGCTATATTTATTGATTATTGTTTATTTTATAATGCACTATAGTATTATTTTGATGACGAACTTGGCCATCGTTCTCGATATCAACAAACTTCTGTTATATAAAAGTTAATTCAAATCCATGATTCCAACCCACAATATCCGTTTCTGTATCCTCTAATCAATCTTGAAAAAAAGAAATTAACGCAACTTTTATGAATTCATGTGATTCAATGTGTTTTTAGATGATGAGGTACAAACAGACTGAATTTGAAGATGATAATACCAGTAGCATTGGCTCTATCGCATTGAACAGCGAACGCATTAGCACGTCTGCAACCCACATCCGATATCATTCGGTTTGTACATTATTTCATTGTCTATATTGTAAGGTAATGCTCGTTCTATGCTATTGGATATAAATCAAACCGTCTAGTTTAGCAATCAAACCTAACAGTTTTCCGAAAAACTACATCTAAATTATCAAATGTCTACATTTATCCATATTTATCTTACTAAAGTAATATGTTACAACATTTTGTTTTGTTTCAGGGTTCATCATTATGGCGAGCAAGAAGTACTCTAGAAAGATGTCTTTTTATCATATGTGTGGCTTTGTTACTCATGGTCGTTGTACTTTCTATAGTAATTAGTAGTAAAAATGGATGGGATTCTCATATTCTTCATATTACTTCACATAACGAAGGTAATTACTTCGATTATTATGTACAGTATCCTTTCTTAATTGTTAAAAAGTATATAAAAGCAAATTGCAATGTCATCATTACATTTCAAAGACCAGCAAATTGGAATTCTGGCCTTTGTTCACATTTCAACGTAAATGTTAATATAAGTTCTATTCATATTCGGTTTCCGTCAGTGAACGACTATTTCTATTCAATCTGAGAATTGGTTATAATTAAGTTAACAAATGGTAAAAAAAGTTACAACGAAATAAAGTAACATTTTGATTAGAATCTTTCTAAATTTTTAACTAAATTATCAAGAACAAATTGAACTCTTCGTATAATTAACTAAAATATATTTCTTGCTGAGGGCTGAATAACAACTTTTTTGGTTGATTTTTTTATGTAAAAATTCTAAAGAAAATAAATAAATTTGAAACTTAATTCGTTTCCATTATAAAATGTCAACATAAAAAAATATAAGAATATTAGCATTCACTGAACTAAAAAATAGGTTCATTTGATCCTGGTATTATTCTATGATCCATTTCTTGTAGGTGATTCTCACTGCGTAACACAGCATTGCGTAACTGTGGCAGCCTCGATAATAAACAGCATAGACCATTCGGTCAATCCATGCGAAGACTTTTATGAGTATGCATGTGGCGGATGGGGAAAAAAGAATCCTATACCCGATGGAAAAAGTATGTGGGGAACCTTTGGAAAGCTCGAGCAGGATAATCAGTTAGTTGTAAGAAATGTTCTAGGTAAGCTATTGTTTAAAAAAACTTGAGAATACATTTGATAATTGTAACTCTTGATGAAAATGTTCGAATTTAATTTTAGAAAAGCCCGAAAAGGTTATGAAGTCAGAGGCAGAAAGAAAAGCGAAACTGTATTATGAGTCGTGCGTGGATGCGGATGAAACTATAGAATCGCTTGGCGCTAAACCTATGTTAGAATTGCTGGAAGTTGTGGGAGGTTGGAGTATTGATAAGAAATTCAATATCGACACATGGTCCTTGCAAAACAGTATGCATGTATTACAAAATGTATATAACATGGGTGGCTTATTTTCTTGGGCTGTTAACGAAGATGATCGAAATAGTAGTAGACACATCATTCAAGTGAGTAAACTTATTTCGTAAAAGGTATATTTACGCTGTTGAGTTATACTGTTATTCTAGATTGATCAAGGTGGACTAACATTACCAACTACTGATAATTACTTGAACAAAACAGAGCACAGTAAAGTTCTTGCAGCTTATCTAGAATACATGACCAAGGTATGGTTTTGATTGTCGATGAAAAATCATGTTCACACGGAATAATCCACAGCTAATTTCACAATATTATAGATAGGCGTATTACTTGGAGGTGAAGAAAACGCAACTAGAAAACAAATGCAGGACATTATTGACTTTGAGACGAAGATTGCTGAAATTACGATACCTCAAGAAGAACGGAGAGACGAGGAAAAGTTGTATAATCTCGTTACTATAACCGAATTACAGAAGGCTGCGCCATTTGTATGTTTGTTTGTTATTTTTGCTACTTATCGAAAATCATACGAGAATATTGATCATAAATAATGTTTACGTAATGGTATCTTGACGTAGATATCATGGATCGATTATTTTCAAAATGCCACTGGTGTAGTCAACAAAACAATCACCAGCGATCAAAAAATAGTTAATTATGCGCCAGAGTACTTCAAAAAGCTGTCGAAACTCGTGTTGCAGTACAACAAAACGAATTCAGGAAAAGTGTACGTCCTGTGCAATATCCGTACGTGATGTCGAAGCATATGTGTGCCCGTATCTAATAGCTTCTGCAGCATTATCTCGTGCTCTCAAGAGTTGATATATTACTATATTTATTTTAAAATTTTCTTGTTGAATTCCTTGCAGGATTTTGAATAATTATTTGATATGGCAAACCGTACGGTCACTTACTTCATGTTTATCAAAGCCATTTAGAGATGCCTACAAAGGATTGCGAAAAGCTTTGATTGGTTCAGAGGGCAGAGAAGAACAGTGGCGCTATTGTGTAAACGATGCTAATAATGTTATGGGTTTTGCCATCGGAGCTATGTTTGTTCGAGAAGTTTTTCACGGCAAGAGCAAGCCAATGGTATTTATCTTTTATTATCAAAGACTCCTTAATTTTGCGTATCTTTACGATTGTGTATTTCAATAACAGGCTGAAGAAATGATAAACGAAATAAGAACAGCTTTTACGAAGAACTTAAAAAATTTGGATTGGATGGATTGGGAAACACGGAAATCAGCTGAAGAGAAAGCTAACGCCATTACTGACATGATTGGTTTTCCCGACTTCATTTTAAATCCAACTGAGCTTAATGAGCGATATGCTGATTTAATAATCACAAAGAACGAATATTTTTCTAATAATATTCGCGTAAATAAATATAATTTGATAAAAAATCTTGAAAAACTTGATAAACCAGTTAATAAAACAACGTGGATTATGACACCGCCAACAGTGAATGCCTATTACACACCAACGAAAAACCAAATTGTCTTTCCTGCTGGAATTTTGCAGTGTCCCTTTTTTGATATGCAAAATCCAAGTAGCCTTAATTTTGGTGGCATGGGAGTTGTTATGGGTCACGAACTTACCCACGCATTTGACGATCAAGGTAAATGACAACCAACAATAATTTATTAATTATACATCTATACAGATTTTAATAATAACGCATATAGTATCTTTGAACGTAAAATTTATAAATATATTAATAATAATTACGCAATTTCTTTTCTAAAAAATTAACTGAACAATTTCATATTTCTAAAACACTTAATCCCTTGCTAGTTTCTATAACGTTTGTATGAAGTAAATGAATATAACGACATGTAATTATATTACAAATGATATACATTGTAATTTTTGAATTTGATTAATTAATAATTTTACATTTCTTCAATAATTAAAATCATAGAAATCCAAAATACAAATCGAAAAACTATTTTATGTACCCAACAAATTTTTTAGGCAATTATAACAAAACTGTCTGAAACTTAAAGCATTATTATATTTAAAATAAATGTTCATTTTAACGCAAGGCCGAGAATATGATTTGCATGGTAATCTACACCAGTGGTGGAATAATGCTACAATAGAGAGATTCAAAAACAGAACTGAGTGTTTCGTCGAACAATATAGTAAATTTGAAATTGAAGGTCGTCATGTCAACGGCCGTCAAACATTAGGTAATGATGCAGATTTTAAGCACCATTGTAAAAAAAACTAGATTATATTTGTAGCGATATTTGAACTTAATTATAAGTTGTGATATCACTTTCAGGAGAGAATATAGCCGATAATGGAGGGTTGAAAGCTGCCTATCATGCATACTTAACGACAAAAAGAGACTACAAAGATCATCTGCCTCTACCAGGGCTCAATATGACCCATCGTCAGTTATTTTTTCTCAATTTTGCTCAGGTGAATGAATACTTTTGATACAAAATGTTTGTCTTATTTTCAATGCTGTATATTTATAATATTTGAACCATTTGTTATTATTTTACTTTAATCGTTTTATTTTAGTCCATACAATTTATTATCTTATTACACGCTAGTAACTTCAATTACAGGTTTGGTGTTCAGCTGTAACGTCTGAAGCTATTGGTCTTCAAATAGAAAAGGACTCTCATTGCCCAGCAAGATTCAGAGTCATCGGTCCTTTGTCCAATTTAGATGAATTTTCGAAAGAATTCAATTGTCCCAAGGGTTCTCCAATGAACCCAATACATAAGTGTGAGGTATGGTAAAATAAGAATTAAAAAAAAAACTAAATATGGCTCTAATCTCTCTTTAATATATGATTTAACAATAATTTATATACTACTGTAGTTTTAATTTGATACGATGTCATTAAAATTATAGCAAATTTATAAAAATCATGAAATGAAACTTTGCTGTTAACTAGTTGTGTTATATACCTATATGTATGTATGTATGTATGTATGTATGAATGTATGTATGTATGTATGTGTGTATGTATGTATGTATTTATGTATTTGTCTACTAAAAAAGTTTAGAAAGCTACATTTCTTTTACAATCGTATACGACTATTTTATGAATCATTTTTATGAAACATTATCTTAAAGACAAACTTCGTATAACTATATTTTTACGCTAAAAATACCAAAACAAATAAAGTCATAAATATAAGTGTAAACGTGGAATAAGATTATTTTGCCATTATCTTTTACTTATACAAATATCCTAGAATATGCCATTTCAAATGTAAAATTAAATTTAACAAAAATAATGCACAGAAACTATAACTCAAAGTAAAAGCTTAATTACCTGGCGTTTTCCACTTTTATACTTAGAAGAAAGAATCTTTTCCATCAATCATCTCGAACGAAGATGAAAAATAAAAAAATATGAAGGGAAATAAAAAAATTGTTTAGTAAAGCTAACACGCCGAAGAAGAGCACGTTCAGAAACTACTATTCAAGTGCCGCTAAGTCATTTCTGCAGGCAGGATAGTTTATAAGAAAGTATTTATTTTGTAAAAATGTCAATGTACCAGATGTTAATATTTTAATTATTACTGCATGAATATATAGATAGTAAGATAACACATTATAGAACCACTAAATGTTAGAATTATTGGATTTCAGATAGTTTTTCAATTAAAATTGATTATATTTCACAGTATTTATAATATTTTAAAAAAGTCTTGCCAAATTGTCATAGAAATTAATAAAAGTAATTATTAGGGAGTATTTATCATAAAACACTCAAATAACATGATAGTTTCTGAAAATATTTACTGTGATAGTTAAAGTAACGTAACAAGTTTCGTAATTATGAATCAATATTGTCATATTATTATGAATATTTATCATCATCACTTATTTATTTATATAATCCATCACGTTTTAATTATTTTGTAGAAAGCCATTTTTATACAAATGTATCATAAATACAAAATTCTTTTAAATATTTAAAATGAATTGCGATAATGTTTTTAACGACTCTCATAAACAGATGACAAAGAAATTGAATATAAGATTCAATAGAAAATACACAACGTGTTTTATTACCATTTTTGAAAAATATCTGAGCATTTCTTAGAAATGCAACACGGCTTTGTAATCAAATTTAAAATTAACTCTTACTGACACACCATAACAAATTAAGATGAAATTACAGAATTTATGTTAAATATTTTAGTACGTAAATAAACTAAAAAATACTATATACCAATTCATTCTCAGTCACATCAATTTATCTAATGTACAAGGTAAAGAAAATATATCTAAAAAATGGACAATAAGTTTTATAAAAGTTCCATATTAGCACGATTGTATGTCATTCATTTCGATACGACCATTTTCTTTAATATAGAATTCACGAAATAATACAAAATTTTTAATTGATGTATTGTGTAATGTATATATATATATTGTATGTCTGTCAAATATTACAATATATTTTATAAATTTTATCTTCAGAATTGCCCGCGTTCTTAACTCTGTATTTTTTAACTCTAAACTTTAATGAAGCATCTGTCCTCACTTGTCCAAAGTTTATTTTTTTACCTTGTCAAAACAAAATATGATTATTTATAAGAGCAAGAGTTTTTTTATTAAATGAAAACTCAAAATCTTTGTGAACACTTTTGAGTAAATAATTGTCATCACTTTTTTATACGTAATAAATATAAATTAATTTTAAAATGATCACAAAGTCAAGATAAGTCAAATTATCGAGATTTACAAAAATTAAAGTTTAAATTTGTTTCATCAATTTAATATGAATAAAATTTCAGATTAAAATAATAATTAAAGAGTATATGTAATATACTATATGATATAACTATATTCGTCATCAATTATTTTACTACATGTAAATAATGTAAAAATACATGCCGTTGTAATGTTTCGTTAGTCATAATTTATAAGTTTTTATTTATTCCTTATATTAGTTATGTTTATATAATTTGTTCCAAATAAAAACTTCAATAACTGTAATTACATCGAATCACGTCGACCATAATAATAAAAGCTTTCTTTTAAACAAACAATAAACTCGATAATTTAAAATGTATAGTGCATTTTTAATAAAAGCTCAAAAAAAATCTTACTATTATGGATCCTATTCATATTTTATTATAATTATTGTTCCAATCGTATAAACCTTTAGGGTTTCCAGAAAATTAAACGTACTAAGGCATTTTTTTATCACGTGATAACACTACCATCGCTGTAACTATTCAAATTTTCATGTAAACCGCCAAAATTGCAGGATCCAATTTTGATGAAATGTTAGAATAATATTTCTGATAAAATATAAAAAACACACGTGTTTCAGGATTTATCTCATAGATTCATAGGCTTTGTTGGGCATTTAAGGGGCCTTTCATCTAATATATCTAAAAATCAAGTCTCTCCTTAAACTTAAATAAATCTTGAGAAAATTGGTCTACATATTTAAAGGTCACCGATAGAAAGTTGAGATCAAATGCTTTAGTTAAAAACCTTATTAGAAAAATTGAACTGTACTAAAGTCATGATATTCGAAAATGTATAAATGAAATCTATAGTAAGCTGTTATTTAAAAATTATCTCATTATTCAATCAAATTTTGGTTCATGACAAAGTACAATAAATAACTTTTGAACAGTTCAGCTATATATTTTATAAAATACAATCGTATAATATAGTCATTTTCAAAAACTTAAATACTGCAATAGTTTTAGAGGATGACATTTATCACGTTATGTAAGAAAAAGAGGCCTGAATACTTACTTTAATGAAACAAAGAAACGCAATACAAGTAGAAAAAACAATTGAAATAAGAACATTCATCCAATCATTTAAAGCCACACCTATGAAAGAATTTTATAATATTTTTCGACACTCATAAAATAAAAATTTATCGTATTGTTCAACATTTTTTAATTTGGTGCGAACAAAGTCATAGAAAAGGCTGAGAAATGCTACAGTATCACTACTATCCGTACTCCTATCTGAGCTTTTTCATATATTTCATTTCATCAAAACAATCTTTCATGGATATTGTAGATATTAATGTATGTTTGACAATTTAATATCGTTATGTAACCGAAACCATATATGTTCGAAAATACAAATAATTATACTGATGATTATTGCAATAAAAAGTCCTAAAATTAACAATTTAATATGATCTAATTCAATTTCTTGATAATTATTATATATTCCAAATGGTAGCTCACGATGAAACCCCCATTTTGTTTCCAAATATTTGATAATACCCGTAGAATGTAACCGCAGTAGGCTAAAAATAAAAAAATGATTAGTAAATTTACAAATATTCATACAAAATCATTGTTGACGAAATAACAGACAAGGATTCATTCGACTAAATTTATCTGAAAATGTTCAGCTATTCTGCAAATACTGTAGTGATGAAATAAATTTTCATTAACGACTATCGAATTTACTTGATTTTGTTTTATACATTAACCAGAAAATTGCTTAGTAATTATCTTTACTATATTTCCGTCTAATTATAAAAATAAAATCCTGCAAATTCTTAGTGTTGGTAATCAACGAGTTACATTATTTAACTTGTTAGCCGAAGAAGTATTAGCATCTTATTATGCCTATTATGATACATACTACGTATTGAGAATCTTCCAATACTTAGACCCTCTGTAATGTAAAAATGATATTTTTGCTCTCCAATAACTACCACGAACTTTTATAATTTGGCATTTATCTTGAACATGTTGATATTGCTTTAAAAATATATCAGGCGTTTCGAGAAATAAAAATCCTGGACTGCAAATATTTTTTCTAAATTCCACTTCGTTTGTCATATTAGGACATTTCCTATTCAGTAATAGCTTTTTTTTATTTTTCACAGATTTTGGTTCGTTATTTCCTTCAATAGACTTTCAAACAATTTTAAAAACAAATTTAATAATCTCTTTTGTTTTATTACATATTATTCTCACCATTTGAAGTTCGTTATAAGCGTAAGTCTGATCCCGTACGCAAATTGAGTGAGTCATTTTTCTCCAAACATCTTCAAGTTCATATACTGCTACAAATGGAGCACGAAATGCTAAATATGAAGTTAAGGTACTGTTAAATCCGCATGAAAGTAACATTCCCATTATCAAAGCAGTAAAAGTACATATTCGCAAAGACCACGAACGAGGTATTTTCTGAAAACCTTCAGACAATATATATAAATTCATAAAATTTAATTACATGAACGTAGAGATTATCTTTGTCAAAATTCGAATAAATTTACATTTACACTTTTATAGTCGGTTCATATCAATTCCATTACAATCTGAGTGCGATAATAGACAACAGACTACTGGTTAAAAAGATAATTTTTCTTAATAAATGTAACAAGATTTACCTTGACCACTTGTTGCTCCAAGAATACATAGTAAATTAAAAGACGTACAACCAAACTCATCGCATGATTCATTGTTTGTGCATAATTTACTTTTTATATTGTAAATACCAATCATACTTAAAGTCAATAAAAGTACAAAAAGCATTGATAATGTCCAAACGTACACATGAAATATACGAATGTACCACCATTTTGAAATGAATGTACCTTCCGGAACCGTAAAAAGTGAGTATCTGTTTAGTTGAGAATCGTAAAAATAGTACTTTATTAAAAAAAATTGTTTAAATAAATATTATTTTTCAAAGTGTAAACAGATCAATGGTACTAACGATTTCTGGCCAATTACAGTACTTGGTACATAATATACTGTTGGTTGTGCAATCAATGTTGTTGCAGCTAAAGTAATGTCAAAGGCTCCATTGCGCAGTTCGGAAATATTATTGCATGATGTATAAATAGACCTGAAGTCAATAATGAGTTCTAAGTATTTAATAACTTTTAACCAATATAGCACTAAATAGTATGAAGCAGCGAATAAATTTATTTTACCTGAATTTTAACGCTTTTTCTAAGATTGTCCAAACGTCACCCAAAAATCCACCCACTACTGTGTTATTTTCCTTTAAATGCGTATACGGATCTTTCTGTAAAATTTATTAATCTTTAGAGAAATACTTCCTAAACAAAAACCTGTCTTTTATATAAATTTTGGGATTTTTGAAAAATTTATAACGTTCAGCTATTATATATTTCAAATAACTATGAAATATGGTATATAAAATTATTCTATAGCCATATAACATCATTTGTACCACAAACTTTCATTTAATCAATATACATCATTTTAGTGATTAGCAATTTCACTTAAATACCTTGAAAACAATTTTCTCATTCACTTTTACATTATATGTTAACAGTTGAGTTGATTTTCGCTCTATTTTCAAATTGTTTAACGAACAGAAAGTTCTTTACATTAGTTTACATTTTAAAATTATTAAAATAATAAAAAAATAATAATATGTAAATATAAACATTTCTTATTGTATAAGAGCTTATAAATATTTCACTAAAGAAATGTGTAACTATAACTTAATGTATTTTATCTACTAGTCTTAATACTCGAAACAAAAAAAATTTAACATTGGCTTTCAATTGATAAAGCTCAGTGAGTTTCGTGGTTTCGCCAATAAAAGCAGCTCTACTGATACTTTAATTGTTTAGTAGTGGAGTGAAAATCCACAATGCGTTTAATTAAAGGTTCTTCGGCGTGAAGGAGTACCACATTGAACGCCTCTGAAATATGTCATTTATTTGATTACAGTACCGAAAATTATTAACAATTTAAAATATTACAACAAATTCTTGCATTATATTATATCATTGAATAAAGGTAAATCTCAATCCGTAATAAATTCGCTGTAATCGCATCGGTCAAATGCAAACGGACGTTTTATCAGATTTTATGTAGTCTTCATATTCTAGAGAGCACAGTATATCACGAACGACAGTATATTACGAAATCCTTATAAAAATGCATATTAATTTTTTTTTGTTTGTTTATGAAAAAGAACTTTTATTGACTTGATCGATGTGACGAGAGCCTTATAGAAATAAAAGTTTCACATGGACTTATAGTCATTTTGATGTAACCATATTCAAGTTATGTTACATACAGCATAATTACTAACCAAGGGAGTAAAAATATTGGTTAGTCCATAGCACATGTAAATTGACACCCGAGGTAAAGCCCGAGGTAATAGAATTGAGGATTCAATCGTTCTACTCCAGTTATGAAATATCTTATGCTCATTTTTGCATATTTGCATGAACACTGTATGTATTTATGACTGTAAATTCATTTGGGCATGTCTGATTAATTCATTCTCTTAAACAGATTATATTATTTTTATTTAAAAAAGAAAAATATAAATGTTAAAAATTTTTAAGTTAGCCTATTTATCTGCAACTCTAAATGCACAAAGAAAATGTTACAACTTAATTTTCTATAAAAAATTGGTCAGAAAAGGAATAAATTTGATAGTTTTTGTGATTACAGCATTACCGCCTGAGCATAGCGTAACGTTAGAGATTTATTTCCATATTTTCTTTTGACTTCAGCATACGTATGGGGTGAGATACAGTCAGATCTTAGCAACCGTTCGGGACTTCGCATACAATTGAAAAGACATGTATAAGCAATTGAAATATTCTGTACAAATACATACAGACGCCATTTCTTGGTCAATCCAAATCGACTTGTAACCAACTTAACTTATTTATTTTTTAAGAAAAGAAAATGACATACCACGCAATCAAGACATAATAAGAATGAATAATAAGAGTGAATAAAGACAAATAAGAATGGTTTCTTCCATTTTAGTACGATTAACATTAATTATTACTTTTTCTTACCGTATTTATTGCTACTCTTAAGATTTTCCCTTGCAAATTCTTCGTAAATTTAACAGAACATAATGCACTTTGATTGGGTTTCAAATATTCCAGCTTTTCGAATTTTTCTCTCATTGAGTTGTAGCGCAAAATACGGTCAGGATTAAAAAGTAACGATGTATCGTCTTCTGTATTTTCTTGTAGCTGTTTTTGATCGTTAAAAAATTTGATACACGTTTCGCACATTGTCGTACGCAAAAACACCTATCAAAGAAATAATATTATTTTATAGTTTTTTTTGTAGAAATGAAAAATTTTATATGAACTAAATTCAGATTTTGAAATATAGTGACCACAACGTAAAAAATAAAAGTGGAGCTCAATTTATTTGAAAGCATATTTCTTATGTGACAAAAATAGTTCTGAATCACTCGTTAACTTTTACAATCTGATGAATACTCACTGGCTATAGTATGCTTTTATACTTTTTCAAGCAGAATAATTGATCAATTTCAAGGACAGTAGCTACAATAGATATCACGAATATTGACAAGTTTGAACGTGTAAAAGCAATTAGTATTGTTTGAATACCATGTAATGATGATATTGAAAGTCTATCTTTTTATTGTATCCGACATCATTACAATTATAGTTATAAAAAATATATTAATATTTGTATCATATAAAAATCATAAAATACTTTATAAAAAGTATCTATCTCAAAAAAATATATACAAAACAATACAGTTAAATGATTGTATCTAAGCATATTGATATTTTTTGTTGCATAATAACTTTATAAATATTCAAAAGCAAAATGTTTAATATATTTTTTAAAACGTACTTAACATTATTTTTGATGTCCGGATTCTGGTATATCCCGCATTCAGCGCTTCTCCAGGTGGTAGGTCAGGAAATCTTCATCAGGAGTCATTCATAAAAAACGTATATTTGAACACATTTTGACCATCTTTCAATTTCTAGCATAGTCTTTCACTATTCATATTCCTCAAAATCAAAATGTATAATGTAATTTATGAATGAATCTTAAATAAAAGTGACGAGTACGCAAAATCAGCGGGGCGAACTAAAATCAGTTGAATGAGTTTAATAAAGCCATATTATTTCACTAAGGTGTTATCCTTATAAAAATTGATAGGTTGGCGAAGCATAAGGTTTTATTGATTAAGTATACCTCTTTTTCCCTTTCTTCCCGTCACCAATTCACTCCACGATTTACCTTTCTTGCCTATGTTTTTTTTAATTTTTTTTCTCGATATTTTGATATATTTGATTTTCCTCCTTTTTTGCCTACTTACGTTTTTTATTTATTTTTTTATAGGTATAAGAATAATTTAGTACATTCTTTAGTGTATTTGTATTATATTTAAATAATATTTATATGATTTTTCTCCAGCTTATTGAAATTTGATGCTTTCTTCATTAGTTTATTGTTATTATATGCTGCTTTTCTGTAAAGCAATTTACACTATTGATATGTAAGTTCATTGCGTTATTGTGGTTATTAATTGTTAAATATCTTCATTTGAATAGTGGTATGGACACAATGTCACTTTTACAATTTTCATATTTGATATATGTTAAATATTACAATCAAATTTGTTAAGTTATGTTTTTGCTATCAAAAACATTATTAATTATTTTGAGTAATTTCAAGATAAAAACATATTATAATATTAAAATATAAAAAGAGGATAGGGCTGTAACATTAATAATTGTAATAATTTAGTTTTATAATCTAGTGTCGTCACAGTATCTCTGTGAAATGTTAAAAATACCTAATAAAGATTGTCAATCCAAAAGCCATGAAAAATCTATGTATTCAATATAAGGGTAACAGTAGATGAATGGTTTTCTAAAAAGCGCTTTAATGTTTCGCGACAATATGGATAATTTCAGAGCCAATTCATCCATAAAAATTATTTTTACATTGAAAATAATGTTTTACATTATTATGTATAAACTCAAATTATATTTTATTGTAGCTTGACCAATAGATGAATACCACTGAATGTCACCGAATGAATGTTTTCCACCTGTAATAAATGAATGCATTAATTCCAAATGTAGAAGCAACATTAATATTTTAAATTTAACCGAGGTGAAACATTCATCATTGCTAAATAGTTTATTAATATTTTTTATAATGCTCCATTATTAAGGTAATACAAAATATCATCAATTTTTTTAGTTCTGCTGTTACATTTATAGAAACTTCAAAGAAAGACGCAATACACAAGAAAAAATTTATCCAATCCGATTTCCAGATACTTATTGAAAAAATTAAGATTGTTCAGTTACGGTTAAATTTACTTTTCTTATATTAATCGTCAAAATGTTATGGATAGTGAAAACTCATGTAATATATAACGTATGGTGATATCATAACCAAACACGTATATTTGCAAGTTTCTCATTAATGTCGTTTTTACTGAGCTTTATTTTATATGAATCTAAGTCCAATACCTAGTTGAAAAGTAAACTATACTGTTTAGTATTTCAGATTTCTTTTTTTTTCATTTTCTTTTCATATTTCTTATCAAATAAATAAGTTGTTTGAATTAACAGATTTATAGTTATAATGATAAAAGTTTACTTGACTACTTTCCTAAATTTTATTTTTAAATATTTATTGTGACAACGTTTTAAACTATCACTTTTTAAATCCACGCAGATTAGTTAGTTGAAGATTAGTTAACTATTGAAAGGGAACTATTCATGAAAATACTTTCAGCGAACATTGGTATTGCGATTATTCAATCCAACATTGAATTGATAATTAAAAAGAATGAGAAGCAAAATACTTCTTCGAAATATTTAAGTTTTTATAAAATTATATTGCAATTAAAAAGAGACATGGATGTTAAAGTAGATTGATGGAGATTTCATCAATTTCTTACAGCATTCAAACGAATCAATGATAGTAAGATTGATAAATTAATCGAGTAATCAGTGGCATTCTATATTGATAGTGTATTTTGTAAGGAATTGTTTCCTATGTTTATAACGATCGTCATTACATCACCTTCAAACCATTGCAAACAAAAGGGTAAGTACATCAGTACCCTAGTACCCCCTTATATCAGACCTCTTTTATTATAACTTTAAAAAAAAATGCGTTATCCGTGATCTACAATTCATCAAAATTTATTAAGACATGTCAAAAAAGTTCTGTGCAATATAGGATTTAATTAGAGCGGCTGAAGAATAAACGATAAAATTTACTAGGAAAATACAAAAAGTAATCGGGTGGCGACGTATTCAATATTTCTAAATTAATTTTCAAAAATTACAAATTCAATTGAATATATGAACAATTATCATTTCATTTATACAAAGAAATCGTTATGAAATAAGAGTTTTGAAGAAGAATATTTGGCACTCCTGTCAGCTTCGAGTTCACTACTTGATAAAGGTGAAAAGGAGGATATGAATAGAGACAATTGTTTAGAGATTTGGGTGAAATTGATAAATTATACTTAATAAAAACCGTTACCGTGGAGAAAGGTAGTTGGAAAAGTTTGTTGAAAATCGATCGGTGATGCCTCAATGACTCACATCTTGACGTGAAATCAGGCAAAAACATGAATCGATCGTATAATGCACTCCGTGTTGTAAGCTTCTTAATGCAATGCAGGACTGGACAGCTTGATCGTCATCTACACGTCGAAGCAAAATAAGTCGGAAAATAAATGAATACAAAGCAATTTAATTTGAAATTTAGAAAACTGCTTTATCAATACTGAAATGGCAACTGATACGCTTTATCAGAAAAAATATGTCGTTTCATGTTATATCATCATGAATAAAAGAGACAAAACCAATTGCGAATGGATACAGCACTGCAGTAATTTATTGGGAGATGTGTGTCACCAAGATTAGAAGATTAGAAAAAAGAAGTTGTACTCCGTATGTCATCTATGTTATGCTACAAATATTCTTTATATAGTGGACCCATTGTTTCAAAAAATAAGTGTTACTTAAATATTAATTTAAGCCACAAAATGTATTTAAAATGGCGTTTACATGAAAAATATCCGACTGTAAGCTAAAGCATAAAAAAATGTTAAAATAGAATATAAAAAACAAGTTTTATTAAATCTCTAAAAAAAAAATTGTTATGGAATGTTTTTATAAAATATCTACACAGTTGCATCTCAATTTAGGTTGAACGATGATCAATTATACAATATAGTCGCACTAACATGAGCTTTTATTGTTATTGGTTACATTAGCAAACAACTTTATACAAAGAAATTCGTCAATTTCAGCCAAACGTTGTTTCCTATGCGATTCAAAAACTAAGATTTAAATAATGGACGGTAAAGACTTTTTCCTCTTTACAAGAAATAAAGCGATCGTTTAACCAAGCATATATTTGGTAGCCAGCCAACGAAGCATATAGTTAAACAAACGCGATTTCTTCGACCTTTGCGATTTGACGAATACGTAAACCGAATGTAAAGGAGCTAAAAAGGATGCAAAACCTAGCCAGAAATCAGAACAAATAGACCGTACACATGCGTTTGAATCAAACCGTTTGAATTTGACTTTGAAATAAGTTACCGGACTCCATAATGTCTTGTCCTTGGAAATTAATCCTCAAACTAACGTTCGAATTGCGAGTATCGCTATCCAAGATCTTTCTAATCGTACGCAAGAGATTTGTGCGTGCACGTAGGTCCACGAACGACGAATTAAACGTGCGTCTTAAAAATTCAATCTATCGCAGATAGCGAGCTTAGTTGCAATGTAATTTTTGCCCGCGTCATACTTCTGTTTAGCCTTTTCTCGGTAGCAGCGCAGCTTTCGCAAGACGATCGTATCGCGTGTATGCATGATATTTCCTTGACGTATATGTACATCCGTACAGATTGCTCACGGCAGATAGAACTTTTCGGATCTGATGTCTTTTTGATAAAAGAATCGTTATTCATATTTGTTTCAACCTCCGTTGATAGAAACTTATATTTTCCGTTAATAGAATATTGTATTCTATTGTATTATTTCTGAGCAAATACTGCACTACCATTATTTAAAGTTTTATTCGTTTAATGAACTCGTAGTGAAATTTTGGGTCTCACAGTTTTTTACATAGCGTAACGCCCATTGATATTGTACATCTCTTTGACTGGCATTTTCAATAGAATTATATAAATGTTGCTTTATGGAAGAATACGATAAAAAATATATGAAACAACATATTTTGGTAAATATGTGATTGCATGGAAACTCAAGTTGTGAAAATAGCAATTAGGCATGTGCAAACATTTTAATTGACTCAGGGATTTTAATGAAATAAATGCTATATATAGATATATAGTATATAAATACTATAGAGAATTAAGCAATCACGCTAGACTTAAAGCTATCAATATAATTCTCTTACAGATCATTCGCCCCAAAGATAAAGAGTTGAACTGCACCAATCAAAGAGAACAAATGCATTTATGCGTAAAATTTAAAATGGCTATCATCATTTCAACGTAAACAATTTAATTTGTCAAACGATACTTTTATTGAAAATGTGGTAAGCTGATGTTTATCTATCGAAATGCTTCATTTGTAAAGTTGTTCCGATTTCGAGACAAAATAATTAATGAAACGTATCCTCGACGTCATGGATAAGACAGAATGACGTTATTTCAAGAGCAAGACAAATGAAGAGAAATTTGAAAATAATATCAGTCATCTGCGAAAAGTCAACGAAATTTGCAAAAAAATAATGAGTTGAAAAAATAGATACCGTTTGAGATATTTATAGAGCTGGTTTCGAGTAAAATGTGAAGGAGTTGACGTTATGACAACTTGATTAAAGAAATACGAAAATATTGAAAATGAGGTTTTTCAATATACAATCGAAAAATAAACGAATGAAATTGCTCTTAGGCTGGGGGGAGGGGAGGTGGAGAGGAAAAAAGGCTAGGGCCGAGAAAAAATCTCGTGCGGTTTCTTGCGATGAAAGAGCCGCTCAAAGTTCAGCTGTCGGGCAAAGTGATTAAGTAGCGAGCAGTGGCCGTGGTGGCGAACGTCGATAAAAACCGTCTCGCGCGTATTATTTGGAGTGTCTGCGGCGAGCCGGGCACAATTGAATGAAAGCGGCCGATGATAGAGTCGGTCGAACCGAAATCGAAAGCTGATTGTTATTAGGAGAGAGCAACCGATCGGCGCAGCCGGCTGCTTGCGGCACGAGCAAAAAGCTTCGTCGCGAGGGAGGAAGAAAGTGCTAGTGCGTACGACCGCGAAGAGTTAAAAAGAAGGAAAGAAAGAGAGAGAGCGAAGAGAGTCGTCGTCGGCAGAAGCGCCAGAAGCAGTAGCAGCAGCAGCAGCAGCAGCAGCAGCAGCAGCAGCAGCAGAAGCAGCAGACAGCAGTGCGACTGTGAACGTGTCTGCGGCCGTCGAGCATATATGCGTCGAGGTACTCGCGCCTCCTGACTCAGTAGCTGACAAGCCGGCGAGCTCCGAGCATCTATCGCGGCGAGTGTCGGCGGTTTGGCAGGCAGGCGCACGCATCGATAGGATTAGCGCACTGCAAAAATCGCGCTCGCGCCGAGTGTTAGTGGTGGTGGTGGTGGTGGTGGTGGTGGTGGTGGCGGTGGTGGTGGCGGTGGTGGTGGTGGTGGTGGTGGTGGAGGTGGCGGTGGTGGTGGCGGTGGTGGTGGCGGTGGTGGTAGAGAGGAGAGCGGCGGCGCCGCTGCCGCTGCCGGTGGGCCGCCCTCACCTTTTCTCCGTGCGTGTCGGCTCTGTCGCCTCGGCTCTCCGCGCTGCTCGGCTTCTATCTCACCCCCAATCGTTCTCCACGCACCGGTGCGAACGCACCGTCACGTGCTCGCTCGCTCGCTCGCTCGCTCGAGATCGGCTGCCGCGGACGGACCAGCACGTGCGAGAGTGCAGCAGAAGAGAGCACGGCAGTAGTGGCGAAGATGCCGAGGCCGCGGGAGCCTGCGAGCGATTGAGCCGCGCCGCGAGCAGCCGATCGCGATGCCAACCGACGGCTCGGCCTCTCCTGCCAATCGATTCCGCCTGCTGCCCGAGTAGTGCCAAGACGAATGCGAAACCTTAAACGCGAAGACTTGCAACCGAGTCGCACGCAGCGAGGCCGAGCGCGAGGAAGAGAGAGAGAGAGCGAGAGAGAGAGAGAGAGAGAGCGAGAGAGAGAGGAGAGAGCGCGAGACTGGCGGGCAGGCAGGCAGGCAGACATCGATCTGCAACGAGCGCACTGCTCGTCAAGTGATACGTCCTGCTGCAAGTCGCGTAGGCTCTGTCTCTCTCGCGGGAGAGTCAGTGGTGTCGCTGGAAGAGATGCCGGTCCGCCGCCGCCGCCGCCGCGAGTGACTACGACGAGCAGTGCGCGCGAGAATCACTTTCACGCACCCGGCGCAAACGGACGGAGGCGCTGAGCAGCAGCCCTTGCGCTCGGCTCGCCTCCAGCGACTGGCACCATGATTACCGGGCGGCTCGTCGCGGCCCTCGGGCCGCTGCAGCTCTGCTGCTGGCTGCTGCTCGCCTGCGCGCCCGCCGGCCTCGCGGCCATGGGCAGCAGCTGCAACGCCTGCCGCATGCACGAGGAGATCCGCGCGATGAGCCTCGAGGCCATCAAGGAGCAGATACTCAACAAGCTCGGACTGAAGCAGGCGCCCAACATGACCGGCCGCGCGCTGCCCAGGATCCCGCCGATCTCCAAGCTCATGGACATGTACGGCATGCAGGCCGACCAGCCGATGGAGCCGGGCATCACGCACCACGACGAACCCGACGAGTTCGCCGCCAAGACCGAGAGCGTCTTCGCTTTCGCTCAGCCCCGTGAGTAGCCTGCGCCACTTTGCCTTTCCTCGAAGCTTTCTCGCCTTCCAGCACTCACTGTTAGCTGGCCTGTTTTCAAGCTGCCGCTGCCGCCGTCTCGCACTCGCGGCGGCCCTTTCTTTTTTATCGTTTTCCATCGCAATAACCAGCAGCGTAGCTTCCCTCGCCGTAGTCAAATAACTCGCGTGCGCGTTTCGAGCATTGACAGCCGGATTCCAATTTCATCCGATTGCTTGTCTGCGGTTCGTTCGGTTGCGCGGACGGCGTGCGTCAACTCCATCCGCGAAAAGCCACGTCTTGCTCTCGCGGGCCAATCGATTTTTCCGGATAAGCGCGCGAATTACTGCTCCAAGTCGGTCAGCCAGATACCAGTCGTACTCTCACCGTTAGCGACTAATTTCGCTCGTCGAATGTTTCGCCTATCGTCGATCTACGAAGATTTTACTTATCGGTCAAAATATATTTTCAAGCTCTTATCTTTTTCTTAAAGCGTGCGATCAGCGTATAAGTACTTCTGTACATTTCGACGAGACAAGACAAGATTACTTTAAATTACGCCAGCAATAAAAATGTGAGCGTTGTTCGGTGTAAACAAATTCTTGAGCCTAAATGATTACCTTCGACATGGAAATATCGGTGCATCTCAAATAAAATCACCAGTTAAATAAAAGCCACCGATAAGCTCTGCAAATTCCGATATTATTTTTTCACAACAATTATTCCCTGCTGCGAATGCTGTTGCCGGGTTTTTACGCAAAAGCCTAATCGCTAAAATATCATGTGAACAGAGTTTCAGCAAGATAATCAATCATTAGAATATCTGCATCGAACGTAGCATGTGACAATTTAATAACGATTGAGAAATGCCTGAAAAAATCAATGTAAATATATCGAAATCCGGAATCGACGTAAAAAATGAATAAAGCGAGATAAAAGCTTTCACCTTCAACATATATGATGTGCTTATGAAATATCTGTCAATAAACGATTGCCGTCGAAATGATTAGAGAACTTTTTTTTCCGCAAAGATTATTGAATTTTGACACGCGTTGTCTACGGCCTACTGGTTTTTCTCGCGGAGGCGCCTTCGGAATTGCCTTTTCCTCGCCGTCGGCCCGTTAATTTCGCTTCCTTTTCTTGGAGCAAATCCTCGATAATGGTAAAGAAGCCCGATAGCGAGGTGATCGGCGTGTGCAGAATTTGCGTTCGGTCAGCGAGGAAACTGAAAGCGGCCGAGGAAAGAACAGACGAGAACGAAACAAATGATAGCGATCAAGAAATTTTGTGATTTACTTTATCAATGCTTATACGCCTGGCATGCCCCAATTTGCTCGAATAAAGAATACTTACGAAAGCCGTGCGCGGCGGTATAAATCATCGGCGCACTTAATTGGAAAGGTCGCGCGTCCGATTTAACATTGGCAAGGAGCGTCCGAGATGCATGCCGATTCGCGGTGCAGCGAGGAAGCCGGGCAATAGATCGAGCGGGTTACGCGGGGAGGGGCGCAGGGGCGGCACATCCACCAGCAGCTTAGGTGCGTGACAAGTTGATCCAGCGTGGCGTTGCCCCGTAAATTGCATCAAACGGATAACAGATGCGCGGCGCGCCGCGGCTGCTCGCTCCCCGTTCCCATGACAGCGGCGCAGGCTACCTGTAGCTGATGAGCGCGGGCATATCTCTATCTGTCGCGTCGCGCGGCCCCCTTCGCAGAAGTGCGCGTCCGGCGGGCGTTTTTGCGCTCGATCCCGATCGGGGAGCGCACCGGTCGCGTGCGTTTGCGTCAGATCGCCGCCACTCGGTGTTTACATGTTGACCGGTCGCCGGGCCGGACGGGCAAAAAAATCCGTGTCAGAGCGGCAACGCCACTCTCGCGTCATTATCCAGGCTAGCCGTGCTCTACTCCCGTTGTCGCCGCGTATAGCGCGGCGCGACGGAGAATAGCCGATCTATAAACGCACTTTCGGGCGCGCGCGCGCGCAGGAAAAACAACAAGATACGAGGATAAAAGCTGCAGCGCGCTCGAAATAGCCGAGTCATCGCCGGCTTTCATTCGACCGCAGCCAGTCGCAAATTTCGCCGCTGACAAATGCCCGCGCCACGTACTTACGTGTAATATCGTGCTCGCATCTGCGTCTGTATAGGAAGAGAGATAGAGAGTGCGAGCGACAAACGTGCAAAGGTCAGGGCCATATCGAGGCCGATGGCTAGGTCAGGCCCCACATCATATGTGCAAGACAAGTAACCGACCAATTCATTTTATCCGACGACGACCGCTCGACTGACGTGGCGCGCATTATATATACCCCGGAATATTTGCCCACTCCACTATTCATCGCGCTCGCAGTGTTAAGCCTCTCTCTCTTTCTCTCTCTCTTCCATCATACGCGCACGGCTTTCTTCTTAGACAGCCATTCGTCAATTCAACAATTGCGCCCACTGTCGTCTTCGTATTTTTCTTCCTTTTCGTTTATTTTTTCATTTCTATTTTTATGGCTCTCAACCTGCTTCACGCCTTCGGCAGATTATGCGATGTTTACTGAAACGCACGCTCCGATCGCTCTAATCGTTTTTTCCGATTCTTATTTCAGCCAGCTCCTACCGTAATAATCATCGATGTGGCTCTCTTTTCTGCATTGCTTCATTTGTTATTCGCACGCCAGCACAGCTATCGTCGATTCGACAATCCTGATTCGGCGATTCGGTTACGGTATTTTTTACCCGCTGATCGGTGCTTTTCAATCAACTGCATTTGCTCAAAAGTCGGATGTCCAAATCAATTTCTTATTACTATCAATTCTTCAGTTCTTTTACGACAGTGCACGACTTATGGAAACAGATCTGTCTATCTCAACGCTGTCGATTTATTTGTATCTGCAATTGAAAAATTAATCTTGTTGTGATTTGATGTTTTTTTCAAGCAGACCTAATTATTAGTTATCAAAATGATGTGACCTCACTAGACAGCTAATTTTAGCACATGATGAGTGTCCCTCCGTGTACGATGAAATATTCGATATAATTTGGCCAAGCTATTTTCGATCATGATTTCATTGTAGAAACAACAACAACAACACTAGCAACAATAAAGTAGTCCGGAAAACGAATCGCTGAGGTCGTAATTGACTTTTTAAATATACTGTGGCAATACGGGTGAAAGGCCGATAAAAGATTTAGGTCTTTCGCCCGTAACTAAAGAAAAGTTAGGAAAAAAGTTATAAACGAATGTTGCAGGTCCTGAAATTTAACGTTTAAAATAAAAATCGTAATCCTCAGCCCAAAACACATGTAAAAAGTTAATCGGCTGCATTTCCCCCACAACTGGGACTGGAACAGTTCGTTGCTTGAACTCAAAAGTCGCGCAAGTCGTCTTTGAGCAGATTAATCGACAACAGTGCGATAGCAGTCAATTAAAGTGAATATCTCGAGTGTGACGTTGGGGACACAGCAAAAGAGGTTAATAGTTCGCATCGTCTACATTTGTTACGTACATTGTAGTTAAGTCAATATCGAGAACATAATGGAAACATTGTAACAAATCTAAGTCACACACGCGGGCGCACAGCAATAAATAATCGATTTATCGCCAAGTTGAAATAGAAAGATCTCGCAGTAAAAGAGAAAAGAAAGATGATGATCAAAAGCTGCACAAATGCACGATAAGGCATAATAAAACTGCTTGTAATAGAAAATTGGGCCTCCATAATTCCAGCGATCGGTGTTGATTACGATGCAGGGTGTATAATATAATCTACCGATTTCCATAAAAGAAGAAGAAAAAGATCGGTTGCGCGGCTTGAGAGCATTATAATACACAACGCCTGCCTGCGGCTAGCGAGGCAGTGCAGAAATTGCCCAGTCAATCTGTTGCGCGGCGGCGCTAAGTGCTATGAGCGCGCGAGTTTATAGAAACAAGGAGCCAATTAAAGTCAGGTTGCTGCTGCTCGAGCAGGTGTAACGTGTGTCTCGAGTTACCGCGGCTCGTTCGCTCTCTCCCCCCCACCTCTCTCTCTCTCTCTCTCTCTCTCTCTCTCTCGCTGACAATTTATTTCGCTGGTTGGATGAGAAAATCTGTGGTACCGCGCTTGCATTTTATGCGAGCGCGGAAAACGAGGTGCAGAAGGTACACGAACGACCTTGATCAATGCTGCAGTGTCTCTCTCACACATACGTGATGGATATTTTATACGGTTGCAAAAAAATTGCTAATGTCTCGCCGACATGAGCCAATCGTCAGATTGACGTTGTAATCTGTGCATCGGCCTTGATTCAACCAGTTTCTTCGCTGGAGCGATTCTTTTGCCCTTTGATACCCCCATCCGGACTGCCTGCGTTATGTAAAGTCCAATCGTTTGTCAAACGTGTGTCGTTGTAAATCACTATCCGACCCACGATGCCCGCGTAAAAAAAACAAAGAGATCTTAGAATTATCCGATTATGATCCCGTATATAGCGCGTAAAAAACTGACGAGGTAGACGCCAATTTTTTTTGTCGTCGATGCTCGACTTTGACGGTACCGAAATATAAATCCGGCGGTTGCATCTCCTTCGCTCTCGACGCTAGTTTTTGCCCATGTGCCTTGCATGCGGGGGCCAGTTTCTCGTCGTCGGCGCGTGCGATCGCGAGCCGCGTGCAAGAAGAAGGCGAGGTAGAAAAAGGGAGAGAGAGAGAGAGAGAGAGAGAACCTCGTATAAGCGGCAATTACGTGGGAAGATATAAGTTAATTTGGCGCTCGTTAAGGTGGAGAAGCCGGCGCTTCTATGTATCTCTCTCTCTCTCTCTTCCCCTTTTTTTCGCTCTCACTCAACATTGTACAACGCTTCTCTCATCTCATTACTCGCAATCCACCTTCTATCTGGATATTCTTTTTTTTGCTCTGTTACACAGCCGCCGGCGCCGCGGTCGCCGCTCTTCTATTAACCACACGCTAATCTCGTGTTGCTCCTTTTCCACACGATTCCACGCTTTAGCGCCTCCACTTTCTTTTTCGTTCATTCGCTC